TTTCGTAACGAATGATAACTGTATCATTAAAACAATAGTGGCGTTAATAGGAAAGGTCTAAATAATAGACGCTTAATGAATAATTATGAAATTGCGAAGTGTTAGCTGAAGGACATATAAGAACATAACCGTGTGTTAATTTGAATTTGTTCGCGAGGAATCGCAACATTTTTTGCGTCGATTCATTGACGTCAGTAATCGGTTCGAATTCATCTTATCGCGCTGCAACGTAGGCGACAAAAAAAGAACGTTTCGCCAGAACAGTCGTTAACAGCGCAGCTTATCCTGAAACAATCATCGACCACCTCTCGCATCATCCTCGACCGACAACTAGCAATGGAACTGATACCCCTCAAATAGTAACACAAGCAATTTGATTTCTTAAAAAATTAGTAAAGAAAATTTTTAATTTCCTCGCATCAATTCATCATTACATTATTTCTCTCGGATGGTAAAGACCTGATAATTAATTTCTACTCGTATAGAATATAAAAATGCAAGTAGGTGTCTTCTCTTCTTATACAAAAAATCAAGTACACAAAAGTGCTCTATAAGAGTCATTTTCTCCAGATTCCGATCCAGGATTATTTCATCCGAGGACGCTTACCAGCCCAATAATTACATACAGTCATAAACAACCATTCTTCCGGAACAATTTATAATTAACATTAGTCTATCATATATTCTCAATTGTTATCAGCAAGCAGACTTCATCTGTTTACTAGTTGATCCAAGATAAGTTACACGATTCTTCCCGGAAGTAAATTTCCTACCCATACAGAGCGGAAATGGTACCAAACAGGCTTGAAATATTTTCACAGTAGTACATTCCTATTCATTCAGGCTAACATTGCCAGCATTGGGTTCATTTAACGACTTATTATAACCCAAACATTTATCTCTGTATACTTTGGATCATGCCCATCGCTACTTATAACGGTTTGCCCGTGACCAGCGAAGACCTTGGCAATGGCTCGCGCGCGGCGACCGTGCTGCGACGTACGCGAAGCCGGCCGGTCACGCGCATGCGCCGGCTGCGCGCGCATCTCGCTCGATGCATCCGGAGGTCGCGTATCCCGTGCACACAACCGTCAACGGTAACCTTGACCTTATACCTCGGCCCGCTGGCCAACAAGGTCCATCCACTCCTGAACGGTTGAAGGTCACCGGTACCGTGGCCAGGAAGCCGGGACGAAAAGAGGGAGAGAGGAGCCGATGGTAGCGCGTCGGTGGACGATAAGAGAGGACCGAGCGAAATCCAGCCGCTCGATCTCTCTCGAGGACGCGTTAACGATTCTCAATTACCGCACGTCAGTCCTTGTCTCGTTATATCTGCCTCTCCCTCCACCCCCGTCTATTATCTATTTTTTTTTGTTCTATACCAAACTCCTGCCCGTCTCGCTTCTACTTCCATCCAGTTCACCACACCCACTGCTGTGATTACTTTTACTATTAATCGTACCGCCACCGATTCGGTCCGCTGTTAGCCCCTCTATTACTGGCTTTCGGGTTTTTCGGTTCTGAAGGCCACGCGGAGAAATAACGATAACAGACACGAGATGTAAGGAGAGAATTGTAATGTATGTATGCATTTCTGAAAGGAACGGACAGACACGGATATATCTGCAATGAAATTTTTAAAAGCGATTGTTGGGGGTCATGGAGACTTCTGATGGGAATGTGACATAGGTCCGCCATCTTGGATACTTGGTTACCGTAGAATTTTGATAGTATTGAGATTACAATATAGAGCGGCAATGATACTGGTAGTTATGTGAAAATTGAAATGTAAATTGATCAAAATAATTTGTAAAAGATAAATGAGTGTCTTGTGCGTCGTATGTGCCGGAGACGATGGATTAGTTATGCATACTTTTTTTCAGAACGTTACATTGGAACGGTGATTTCTTTCTTGGAAAAGTCAGGGTCGCTTCGGTAATAGTAGACGATCAGCTTTAACATAGGCAAAGTCAATCGGTTATCTTTCACGTTTGAAGCAAACATGGAGCCATTCATCCGGCAAATATTTGCTCAAACGAAATTAAGAACGTACGTGATTAGGAGTAGTTTACCATCCGATCGATATTCCCTGATGAAAATAGTTAGTGGAATTTACCTAAGCTATTTTAGTTATGTTACGGGTCATACAGACAGGACTAAAAATAGATCCATGAACCAAAATACACATAAACGAAATAAATTTTAATATGAATTGTTGTGAAGCACAAATCTATTAAATTACCAGAACGTGTACTTGCAACATGTAATCAAAATACAATAAATTACGAACTTGTATTCGTAGTATTTAATTCTTGTTGTCGTAACTTATTGTGTATACAGAAATGTGACTTTGCATAAACATCCGTAATCATAAAGGGATTGTAAATTCTTAAGACTTATATCTGACATCACATTGTAGGAACGATACGCTTGTCTCGACCGATTCTCGCACAGATTAGAAATAGTGAAAAGTCGAGGTCGCCCTTGACGTAAACGCTAACCGCATAAAGATACCCAGACACACTGACAATCTTTTCATAAAGGATGCCTAAGCCAGCAATCTTGACCAAGTACCTTGCACCAATCATTCGATGTTTCTACTTTGGAGAAAACCCGTTGTAAAAAAAACGATCGCCAACTTGTCATATCCTCGAATTGGTAAACCTATAGGACTACAGTACGTCTAGGATACTGTTCGAAATTCTGCGGTCTTTTCTTTCGTTGATGACATATACTAATAAGAATTCGTATGTTTGTTGCCAGAAAAACTGTTCCATAACTGTGTTATTCATTCACGGTACCAGTTGTTTCTCAATTGCGGATATTCCTGGCGCAATTTCTCGTCATAATTTTAACTCGGCTTATATGCTGCCCGATCAGTTCAAGGTTCCAAGTTTTACTGTGTCCACTTTTAAAGTTTGGCATTTCCAAGTTACGATAAAGTAAGAATACCTTGATACCTGAATACCTTTATTCCTATGGAATTGCATAAAGACTGAATCATATTTGATTTGCTACATTAGAAAAAACAACACGGTGCATCCACGTAAATTTAAATGTATATACATGTATGCAAGATATAATAAAATAAACGAAATCATGAAATTCATGAAAATCGGAAATCAGAAACACTTCTTGTTCGCAAGTTCACCCAAAGACTGGCGCTAATGCACGAAGATTTACGAGGATCAGATGCAGCACCTACAAGTGTTTGGCGCCGAACGAAAACTTGGCTCACGCCGAGCAAATTAGAACAAGTGGGTATTACCACGCCCGAGATCTACCAGTGTCCTTAGAATTAAACCTGTTACGACTTTCTAAAACCGTCTTCGAGTAACAATAGAAAGACATGCGTGAAAGGAATGCATCGCATTTGAAATTCATATGTGGCGCCGTTTCATTGTAATACCGTAGTAGATCAATATTCATACGTGTGTATTTATAAAGCATCAGATTACTCTCTCATTTACAATTTTCGCCTTGTTTGTTAGAATTATCAAGTAGCAACCGATTACTATTTCCATTATATATTTTGATATAGAATCTGATCTGTCATTTTAGATTTGTAGGGTCGAATTAATCAGTCAACATAACCATCGTCGACCAATTCGTCATCAGTAAAAAGGCTGAATTATAAAGGGAAGTTATGATAGTTCTGATGTGTTTCAAATTTCAGCGTTACACTGATTAAATCCAGCAGACACACATACGTGTACAATTTTTATTCAAGATCCTGTCTGTAAATGTTAATTGGAGCAAGGGTCTTTAATTACATCGCTTCAATTATCGGAGCAACTATTACGTTTCTTTCTCACTGAAGAGATCGTAATATTTGCAATTAGTTTACATTTCCTCGATGCTCTAAGGCCTAAATAGCTAAATGTGTCGAGCATTGTACTGTTATAAAAGAAACAAGAAACAGGATCTATGCATTTTATACATTTCCACGTAACGAGACCGAATTTCACCGCGTTACGAAACCTATACGTGTCACTAGGCTCGGCCTTGACATTGACTCTTGCAGTGTGGGTCGCCCCGCCGCCGCCGTCGCGAAGTTACGTCAGTATTGGTGCTTCGTGTCATATGAGAATGTTTAAGCAACGAAGACCTTGTGAATGGCGGGGCGCGTGTGAATGAAAAAAATAAAGCAAAACGAATAGAGACGGAAAAAAAATTAATCACAGACCTTATGGGAACAGCAGTCAGAGTGACAAGGTGCCGATATATGTGCATAATGTAATGTTTTCTAGAAACCCGCGCCAGTGATAAAGCCGGAAGCCGATGATGTTACTTTTGGCGGGTAGCCAAAAAAGTTTCGTCCACGCCACTTTCATTGCAACGACGTCGTCGTAGAACGATCTTTCTAAATGCTACTGGCCTTGTCCTTGACATCGACCGCAGTGTCCCGACACTACGCAGGCCACGGTTGCATCAGAATGTTCGATGCACAAAACATGTGCATATACACCCGGCGAAGATGTCGTTACTACTGACAAGAACGCGGAGTGGGAGGAGGAAGCTGTGTACACCGAAATCAATTATGGCGGGAGATATGAAGTTGCGAGTCAGGTGGGTGGGGTGGTACTCATCTATATCGATTAATATCATAGTATATCGCCCCTTAAACCACGATACCTTTTATGATTTAAATCGAACTTCTCTTTTTCGTAATCTCAATACGCGAAACAAGATTAATTTAGATATTAAATTTTGATCTATCATTCAGGATCTATGATAGTATAAATGTTTTGCAATGCAAAGATAAATAAGTTACTTACAAATTGCAACATTGCCTGCTATACTGTTAACATTTTTACGAATTTGGTAATAGTATAAAGATATCGGTCTATTTCCACCCAACGTGCGAAATGTTGCCTGTAGTCATTGATACGTGTAAACAGCCATGGAATGAATTTGGATAAAATGAAACGTTATTTACACAACATGAAATAAATTTGGACATACACGTATATATGTACAAAATAGTTTACTTTTGGCCTTTGTGTACTTTGATACATAGATTTGTATATGTACAAAATGTACTGTATGTACAGTATTAATTGTTTGTTGCTTTGCCATATTGTGTTAAACAACCTATTTTCAGGATAACGTGACATCATGAGAATTATAAAATAGTTTCATATTTTCTATATGAAAGAAATTATTTTTATTTCTTTCCTTTATGAGTTTTAGGCTTCCCACGAGGTGGTTTGCCACCCCGGCTCTTCTTTCCACGTCCTTTAGTTTTTTCTTTTGCTTTTGCCGCGCGTAAATCTTTTTTCATTCTGGGATCAACCATCTTATAACGTCCTTTCACACCGGCAGGTCTCGCTGCTCTTTTCTGTGCCATGTGTTTCTTTGCAACCACGTAAGTAACTTCTTTCTTCGGTTCTTTATTAGCTTTCTTGTATAATCTAAGATAAAAATACGTAAATGTAACCATTATCCGATGTCTGTTCATAGTGGAAAATAACATGTAGAAAATAATACTTACGCTTGTACTTGTTTTGACTTTTCTCTATCAGTAATATCTGCATTGTCCATTATTGCTTCCACCTTCTTCTTTGCCTTATCCAATTTACGCATTGCACGACGTTTCTTCCTCGTTTTTGCTTCTAATACTTTCTTGATTGGCCTTACGTTCACATCCTCAATTCGTTTCTTGTACTCGTCCACAAGCTCTTTAGGTACAGGTGCATCCTTCTTCATATGCTTCTGTTCATCTTGTACAAACCAATCTGGTAACCTTTCATCATTAAATGCAAATCTATTCCACGCTGAGTCTATCAAATCTCTTCGAGTTTTTTTGCTTTGAACTAGTAACGATCCTAAAGCAAGATCTTCTTCTGACAAACGTTTCCTTTTCTTGGGTTTTATGCCTGTGTGTTACGAAGCAATATAGGATACAAATTTGTTAATGATTAAATAATTACTTAATATAAATGCTATAGTACACTCACCATCTGTTTGTGAAACTATTTCGAAACCATTTTTACCGCCAACCCTCTTTTTCTTATCTATTTTATTTGGAGCCATCATTTCTTCCATGTCATAATCAGAACCAGAATCTGTATCTTCGGTATCATCATCTTTTTCGTTTCTCACTTTCTTTATGTTATTCTCTTTCCCCATGGAGTCATCTCCTATTATACGGCCGCCCTTTTTCTTATACTCTTCAACCATTTTATCCAATTCAAAGTCTTCATCTTTTTCATCTTCTAAATTTTTAAAGACATCCTTTTCAAACCATAGTTCAGCTTTATGAATTCTTTTCGTCTTTTTGTCTCTATGATCTAAATCAGTTAACAATGGATTTTCTGAATCATCGTCGTTTTTCTTCTTTCTTTTTGGAACTTTATTTCCGTCTTCATCATCGGTGTCATCCAAACCTAACAACAAAAGTCAGTTACATGAAGATACCCAGATCTTGCATAAACACACAAAACTTATATCGATAATACCCAAGTATATATTTTAAGTACCTAAACTTGATTTTTCAATCTCTGAATCGTCATCTGATGCGTTGCTTGAGTCTTCTAGTTCGCTGTCGTCCGTTTTATAATACAATCCACTGCTATCTAAATGTCCTTCATCTTTATTGTACTTAACTTTTTTTGGTTTTATTTTTTCATCGTCCGAATCTACATCACTCTCTGCTACTAAATCAGGCTGCTGATTTGTTATGTCTTCTAACTGCTGATATGTCTTAATTTCTTTCAAACGAAACATGTCTTCCCCTTCCATTACAGGACCTTCATCTCCTTTATGAACCATTTTTAAATTCAAACGTTCATTTAGCTTTTGTCTCTCTTTATTAACCTTTTTCTTCTTTCGTTTCAAGTCTCTAGTTTCTTCTGCTCTAATCTCCTCAATCTGTTTTGTAATTTCTTCATCTTCTAAATCTTCCACTTCTTCTTGAGTCATTGGTGCCACTTCTGTTGGCTCATTGAATGTATCTTTTACTCCATCTTCTGCCTCTGGTTCTTTCTGTTTTACATCTTCCTTCAATGTTTTCCACCAACTAAGTAAACGTTTCAAATCCTTTTTACCCAACACTTTAATATCTTTACAGCATTCCTTAATTTCATTAGTTGTTTTTTCATGATTCGCTATTGTTTCATCATCGAAAACAATTTCAGATGCATTCTGCAATGCTTCTACAGCACTGTCATGCTCTATAAAATCTCTAACGGATAATTTATGATACAAAGTATAATCATTTTCTGGATATCCCTCAGCTTTATTTTTTTTCTTTTCTGGATTATAAACATTTAACTTATTTGTTGGTTCTATCTCTAATTCAGAAAAAACATATTTTGGATCTAAGAATTTGGAGTCTAACTTATCTGGAGCAATGTAGTACTGGCAAACAACAAATATTTCAGCAGACTCAGTACGTGATGCTTGAGGTTTAGTTGCATGTACCTTAAATAAAACATAACAATTAAATACCTATATGAAACACGTGTTATTACTACAATTATAAAATCCAGTACCTTACGAAATAGCTGTTTTAGAACCCAGATTAATGCATGATAATCTTTTGATCTGAAAACTTTTGTAACAAACCATCCACCTGGTCTTAGAAAATGTGTTGCCATTTTAAGAGCTGATAAAGTTAACACAATTTGTTGATATGAGTCATGAAGCCAGTTTCTACCAACATTTGGTGCTCCATCATTTAACACAACATCAGCTTTCCAAGTCTTTAATTCACGAGATATAGAAACACGACATTTATCTGTTGTGATATCTTCTACTAAACTGATACATCCTGGAATCTGTTTTATAGGAAATAAATCTACGCCTATTACTATAGAGGAAACCGGCATATTCTGCCGAGCAACTTGCATCCATCCTCCAGGAGCTGCACATAAGTCTATGCATACTCGAGATTTTTGTAAAAATTCAAACTTCCTATTCAATTGAATCAATTTGAAAGCAGCACGTGACCTATAACCTATAAAATATAACTTATGAAAAATATTGTTTATATGATGTTCCGTGACACTTAACAAAAATAACAGCTTCAAAACATGAAATTTTAGAACATTTTACTCGGTAATCTTTACGCAATTAAAATTGAAACCATCAGATGTAATATCTTTAAACCAATTTCATATGCACTGTGACAAATAAGTACATTAACTGCAAACAGACACTTACCAGTTTCTTTAGCTAACTGATAATATTTATCCTTCCTCTGTTTTCCAATTTTTGCCTTTTTACCCATTTTGAACTACAAATAATTCTATCTTTTATTGATAATATAGTGTACTTAAAAACATTAGTTAACTAGTTAACTAAAGAACCCGCACGCCGCACGCAGCCACATGCGGTCGTCTTAGGAGTGGGGATAGAAGCAAGATATAGAATTATAAAATATACCAATATAGAACTCTCGTAGGTAATATTGTATTTTTCAGAATAGTTAAGATAATCTTGATTATAATATTTTAATATCCTCAAACAAAAACGTTGAAGTACCTCTTAGATAAAATAGAAAATGTTGCTTAAATTAATAAAAAAATTCTTTAGTTATGTATGTCTTAATATAATTTATTATATTAAGAAATTTAGACAAAAAAATAAAATAATACTGGGTATTAGGTTACTGACAAGTCTTTGAAGGATCTTTCTTTACAACTATAAACTTTATTTTGTATTTTATATGTTTCGTTTAATGGTATGTGTAGCTCACAAGTGGTTTTACAAAAAATGTAAATATTGAAATAATGAAGCATTGAGTCTAACCGATTACTTCCATAACTTCTTGATCGACATATTCTTCTCAGAATCTTTTTGCATAACTTTTGCTACAGCCATTTCAAAATCTTCTTGAGTAACATGAACACGACGTTCTCTGAGAGCATACATACCAGCTTCTGTACACACACCCTAAAAATGAGAAAATAAGTAAGTACAGAATTCGAATGCTCAAAAGTATATCATTGTTTCTGCAAAAGTACTATCAAGTACCTTAACTTCCGCACCAGATGCACCTGGCATGAGTTCTGCGATTTTCCTTAAATTTATACCGCGAGTTAAATTCATTTTTCTCGAGTGAATTTTCAAAATATCAAGACGTGCTTCCTCATTTGGCGGTGGAAATTCAATTTTACGATCAATACGTCCTGGTCTAAGTAAAGCAGGATCTAATATATCAATTCTGTTTGTCGCCATGATGACTTTAATATTTTTTGTTGCTTCAAAACCATCCAACTGATTGAGTAATTCAAGCATAGTTCTTTGGACCTAGCCATAATATTTATAGGCATAAGTATAAAGAATCAAACATTGAAATCAAAAATACAGAACATACTTCACTATCTCCACCAGATCCAGACTCAATACGGGAACTTCCAATTGAATCTATTTCATCCATGAATATTATTGATGGTGCATGTTCTCTAGCCATTACAAAAAGTTCACGAACCATTCGTGAACCTTCACCAATGAATTTCTGGACCAATTCAGAACCAGACACACGAATAAACGTACATTCAGTATGATGAGCTACTGCTCTAGCTAATAAAGTCTTGCCAGTACCTGAAAGTAAGTTATACAATTGTGCATAATACAATTACATTTCCTAATAAACAAATCAAAGAATGTTTTCTTCAAGTTATTTCCTTACCTGGCGGTCCATACAAAAGTACTCCTTTAGGTTGTGCTATTCCAAGTGCATCGAACAATTCAGGATGTTTAACAGGTAATTCTATAACTTCTTTAATTTCCTTAATTTGTTTGTCTAAGCCACCAACCATTTCATAAGTAGAATCTGGTACTTTTTCCACCATCATGAGAGACACCAGTGGATCAACTTTGTTTGGTAAGATTTTATGTAGAGTATAGCTTTCATTGCGTAATGCAACTCTTGAGTTTGGTGTCACATCATTAATGTCAATGTTTTTATCTATATCTACTACAAATTTTCCTTCAGGGTGAACTTTAACCAACACTTTCTTTTTATCCATTGGTTTAACAACTTCTCCAACATATGATCCTTGTTCTTGAAGAAGCTGTAATTCCTCTCGTAACATACGTACTACAGTTAAGAATGAAAAATATTCATTATATTAAAATTAAAAATTTGACTCATTAAATCATTCCAGAAGTTCAGTATGAACCAACTGTACCCATGGACTATATTACAAGGTAGGACATACCCTTTGCATTAAGCTCATTACGTTGTGCTTGTAACCTCCTTAAATTTTGACTTTTCTCAGCTACTATTAATTGTAGCTCTTCAATTTTAGTAATGTAATACGGTTTAAAACCCTCTCCTTTTAGAATTTTCTCATCTATTTCCAACTAAAATATTTAAACAATTAATAATTATTGTAAAATGTTATACTGTGTTCAAATTCATACATTCATTAAATTTGTATATTTACCTTATTTGTGAGCGTCATTTTCGCACTCACTGCTTGGATCCGCCTGAAAATACTAATTAATTCTTATTTTAAATGCCCATTCACTTATAAAAAGAAACCTGAAGTAAAACTTCAAAATTTAATTGTTCCAGTCAATTACTGCTGTTATAAGAATTGCTTGTCACTGAGTCTACTCGTTCGATCTTACATCGAGAGTCGATAATTGTAGTATCGACTTTTTTCTATCGACGCCAAATCGATTGCGGTTAATATTTTAATCGACGAAATACTTTACACTTTTCTAGTGGTGTCCAATTATTTGTTTAAACCTACTAGATCGACATTGTGCATTAACAATTGTTGAATGTACAGTTCTTAATTAATATTTAATCCTTTTACATGCGGAAAAAAGTATGTAGTCGAGGCAATCCACGATGCCATCTACGATAAAAGGCTCAAGCATGAGCCACTTAGTACAAAGTTTTACTCATTAGATAGCGATACTATGACATTCTTATCTGTGTAAGAAAAATTCACGAACCTGATCAGGTCCATGGAAAAATCATGGAAAAATCGAAGTAAGGTCACAGACCATCCAGACGAGCTATGTATATATATGAATAGACTTGCAGTAACATATCTACTCTTATACCTTGCTGTGATAAGGTGGATAACTACATACTTGTTGTCATATACATATACATAATGATACAGTAACTGCACTCCGTGTCATAAAGCATCATGACATAAGAGAGAACTCCCATGTCGGTTATTAATACTGAGATAATCAAAGTGGGTTAAACAACTATGAAATTATATTGACTCCTTACACACCATACACACCTATCATTAAATATATATGAATACCATAAGCGTATAGAAAAAAGGAACCTAGTTATACCCCCCTCCCCCGGCCGTAAGCAGTAGATTTGACGTCACTACTCTATCCAATTCTTAGTGGACAGCCAATAAGATGCTCACGATTTGCTGCACACGAAAAACCGGAACAAGCGACCGCATGAAAAGTTACCAGATAGAGTCTGCTATATCTTTCTGTCAAAAGAACGCGTTCTTTGATGTATCCGTGTAATGAGTGAGTTGAGTGAGCCAGCAAGTGAATATGTAAATGTAATGTAAAATGTCTTTACCGGGGATTTTCGGTTAAGATATTCAAAAAGATGTAACATAGCAGGTAAATAGTACCGACACCTCGACGTTCCCATGCGAATTGACGTTCCTAATATGTATCGAATTCAAACCATTAACAGTTATACTCCACGAAATCATAGTATCACAGAGATTAAGTGTAACATGTTTACCGTAATGAATTCCGTATGATTTGCGGATATTATGAACGATCTGTATTATAAATTCATTGCAACGAATTTAAAGTGTTTGAAATTTGAAGATTGAACATAATTATATTACACGCCGTGTAATTATCATCCTGCATATTTTATACACGTAGTATATCTTTCTGTGATAAACAAATTAAAATATTTAAAAAAAAATGTTTATAAATTCACTATTTCTATTCACTGTGGTATGTTATGATCGTTTAAAGTAAAAACCACAGAAATTGAGCAAGCTGCATTTGGACAACCAAAAACGATGTTTAATGTAGACCTAATTTCATACGACACACTTTTTTTACTGTAACATTAAAACTTTTACTGTCGAAGAGAAGAAATTCTATGGGTGATGCTAAAATTATTTTGGACAGTTATGGCAAATTTATTTTAAATCAATTTAATCATTAATTTTTTCTGAAATTATAGAGGAAAAATGGATAGTAAAGAATATATGACTCATTACTTCTTTCTATTCAGTATGTTTATTTATTATACCTTACAATATGGCTTAAATAGGTTTTTTATAATTTAGTTACATATTATGTTAATGTTATTTTAATTTTATGTTCATTTGCAGCACTATAAAGAGACAAGTGATTGGTAGTATGGTTTAAAAAATGCCATCTGAAGTTAATGTTAGTGATACAACTTTTGAGAAGAACAATGGAGGAGATGATTCTGAAGAACAGTCTGTTGCGTTATTAACTGTTAGCACAACGAATCAAGAGTCTTCAACCACAGTGAAACATGTGGAAAGTAATTCTATAAGAAGTAATCATGAAGCATTCACATCTGATATTACAAATGATTTTATAGAACAAAATGAGAATGCTTCTGTACCATTAGATACAAATTGCATGGCAACTGAAAATGGTTTACAGCAAGGAGAAGTATCTTCTTGTGAACAGAAAGGAGTAAACGACACAGATGATGCTAACACATTAAGCTCCTTTGAAGAACCAAATCCTTGTTCTACATCAAAATGTAATGAAGAAAATGTGAATTTGAAATCTGCTGTTTCTGCAACATCAACATCAACATCACACCCAGTTGGTACAAGTGAAGATAGTAGCAACATTTCAAGTAAATTTAATAATGAAGTCACACAGAACTCAAGTCAAAGGCTTACCTCATTGTCTCATAAGAATTTAACAAGAAAGAAGTGTTTTCTGGCTAGCATCGAAAACAATATTGAAAACATAGCAAGTACTTCAGAGCAGTTACCTTTATCCTCCAGAAATATGATAAGAAAGAAACAGTTTTTTAGCAGGGATGTACAATCTAGTAGTACAGAATCTCAATACGAACAGAATGCAAGAGAACAACATAATGATAATGATGACAATGTGTACAGTGAAAATAGTAGGGGTTCCAGTTTAAAAGATTATAGTTTACCCTTGGAAAGCCTAGCTTCGTGTACTTCAAATGATCGTATGCAGTTTCAGAGCACATCAACAAATGAAGCACACAGTAATAATATTGTAAATGCACACAAACCGTTAAGTTTATCAGAGAATAATAATAAGAGTACAAGTGAAAATTTAAGCCGCTTAAATGAAGCTGGTAGTTCGTATTCCCATGTATCTAAAAGTGTGCCAAAACCTCAAAATACTTTGGCAGACTTAGTACATTGTAATAATCTTACAAGAAAACCATTCAAACTGCCAATTTTAGAAAATTTACATGTAACTGCCAGTGCTCAACAAACTGAACTGGAAGAGAATGCTGTGGCACTTTTAGAACCATCCTCTACCAGACAAATACGTTTAGACGAGACTCAAGGTCTAGATGTAGAACCACATCGTTCTTCGAATAGCAGCGACGGAAGTAATTCTGATACAGAATCACAGCAGGCAGTTCTAGGTCATAATGGGACCAAAAAGGTATAATTCCGTTTCAGTTAAACTTCATAACATACTAATTATATATAGCAACGAACAATTCTGCATGTTATTTTACTGCAGATACATGATTTTTTTGCACATATGCATGTACAATGTAATCTTTATTTTAAAATTTTAAACAGACTAGTATTACACTCCTTCGAGTTAATAAATTAAAATGTAGTTACAATAGTTCCCAGACAATTATATGTACATATTGTCTTCAAAACTAGTATTCATACAAGATATTTCCCTATAGAGGCCATGTGACACAAATGGTGTTGTAACAAAAGAAGGTGTGGAATATTATCAATTATGGCGAAGTACAGGAGGCTTCTCATCACCTGAACGTTTGTACGAAACATTATATCCAAGTCCTCCACCACTTCCACCACGGACAACGCACAAACTTTTACACAGAAGTAATGCTGGCCCACCAGAATTACCTAAACGGTATCTTCAAAAATACCCAGCACCCTTGCACCCCGAAGATTGTTTTGGATTTGAAATTGTAGATGTTGATGAAGCTTCTAATTCAAAGGTAATTTTAAACCTTTTTTTTTGTATACGCATGTTGATGCTTTTCACAACACTTTTCATGTATTTTTTTTCACAATTATGATTTTTGCGTAAGCTGTTCAGTTACTGAATTGTTTCTTGTAATATTTCAGTCACGGACAGCCGTTACGAAAAGTATAGCATTATTAAGTTCACCGAGGGCGCATAGACCGCTGGAAAGACCAGAAACCGGGGTAACGAATCATTTGGAATGTCCACCAACGCCTACGCATCGCCCAAAGCCATTGCGTCCATTACCGATGTGCCAAACATCAAGTGTATCATTTCCCTCGGACGAACTCCTACCTCCGTGTAAGATACTAGATACGTATTTTTTTCAAATTCTTTTGTCAAAGACATTTATTTAGTATATTCCTATTACAGGCTGGGAAGCAAGAATCGATAGCCACGGGCGGGTATTCTACATAGATCACGTTAACCGAACTACGACTTGGCAGAGGCCCAGTTTAACAACACGAAACACTGGTTGCGATCTTAGAAGGCAGCAATTGGACAGGCGTTATCAGAGTGTACGTCGGACCATTTCTCGACCTGACAATATTGATCGTGAGCAGACCACCGTTCCATGTCAGCATGGAAATGGAAGTAACTTAGAGTATACTGAACGAGCACCTGAACGACTGCCTGAACGACTGCCTGAACGACTGCCTGAACGACTGCCTGAACAAGCTGAAAGAAACGAATCCGAACCGTTCGATGTTAACACGAGTCCTCCAGTATTATTCTTAACAAGACCGGACTTCTTTACAGAATTACACACTAATGCAGAAGCATTAGAAGTGTATAATCGTAATCCCAGCCTAAAACACATGATTAATAGAATCAGACGGGATACATCAGCGTTTCCGAGATACGAGCATAATAGGGATTTGGTCGCTTTAATAAATGTCTTTGCCGATCCGAATAAGGAGCTTCCAAGAGGCTACGAATCAAAGCTTGATAGAACAGGCAAAGTAAATATATTCAGGTTGAAATTAGTTATGTTCAAAATAACTTTTAATAGTGGAATATTGTTTAAAAAAAAGTCATATGTAATTTCAGAAATTCTTCATTTGTCATGCTAGAAAAGCTACATCTTTCATTGATCCACGATTGCCTACTGAAGCAGCACATGCACGTACGTTATTAGATGAAGCACCTGTACCACCGCCAAGACCACAGCAATCGGCTGTTACGACAACACCCGATATACCTGTAGCTTATAATGATAAAGTTGTTGCCTTTTTGCGTCAACCGAATATAATGGATATTTTGAAGGAAAGACATTCGGTACTGGGACAGAATATCGTACTCAGGGAGAAAGTAAATACTATACGAATTGAAGGCACTGCTGCTTTACAACGATTAGGTCATGACGTACCTCTGGCATTATTATTAAGGTATAAAATATATAACGGAGTCTGCACTGTAGGCATCGCTAGGTCAAGTAAGCTAACCATAAATTAAAAGATAGTGCAGGAACGCTATAAGTAAAATATTGTGGTAAAAAATGTTCGACTTTATGATGTCTGTAATGCTGCTCTCCGGTATAGTTGTTTTTAATAATAAAAACAATAATACAAATTTAATTATTAACTTCGATTCATTATTGCAGCTTATTCGAACAAGAAATTATGTCATACGTACCTGGGAACGTGGTCAGATCTCCACTAGGTAGTCCGCATGCTTCACCTGGCTTAACCAGAGCTTCTGCTAGAGCTCCAGCTCCACACAGAAGAGATTTTGAAGCTAAACTTAGAACGTTTTACAGGAAGCTAGAAAGTAAAGGATATGGGCAAGGTCCAGGAAAGCTAAAGTAAGTTTACATTAATGTTACGTTTATTTGTACTTATACTTTCTTTAGACTAATACTTTCTTTTGTTCAGATTACATATTAGGAGAGAGCATCTTTTGGAAGACGCTTTTACACGCATCATGGGTGCTTCAAAGAAAGATTTACAGAAAGGCAAGCTGGTAGTTATGTTCGACCACGAAGAAGGTTTAGACTACGGCGGACCATCCCGTGAATTTTTCTTTCATCTGTCTCGTGAGCTTTTTAATCCTTACTATGGATTGTTTGAATATTCTGCCAATGATACGTATACTGTGCAAGTGTCCCCAATGTCAGCTTTTGTAGACAATTACCATGATTGGTTTAGATTCTCTGGCAGAGTTTTAGGTCTCGCCTTGGTTCATCAGTATCTGCTTGATGCCTTCTTCACGAGACCTTTTTATAAGGCTCTCTTAAGAATACCAGCAAGTTTAAGCGACTTGGAAAGTTTAGACCAAGAATTTCATCAGAGTTTGATGTGGATTAAAGAGAAAGATATCAGTATAGAGCCATTGGAATTAACTTTTTCGGTGACAGAGGAACTACTAGGGCGAGTAGCTGAACGTGAATTAAAACCAGGAGGTAGAAATATTGCTGTCACCGAAAAAAATAAAAAGGAATACTTGGAGAGAGTTGTGCGCTGGAGACTCGAGCGTGGTGTTGCAGAACAAACGGAGTCCTTAGTTCGTGGATTTTACGAAGTTGTAGATCCACGATTAGTATCAGTCTTTGATGCACGTGAGCTGGAATTGGTAATAGCAGGAGCGGCTGAAATTGATCTGAATGATTGGAGAACGCATACAGAATATAGGAGTGGTTATCATGACGCCCATCCCGTCGTGGAATGGTTTTGGAGCAGTATCAGTCGATTTACAAACGAACAAAGATTAAGGTTATTACAGTTTGTCACGGGAACATCAAGCATTCCATATGAAGGATTTGCAGCGTTGCGTGGGTCCACTGGACCACGGAAATTTTGCATTGAAAAATGGGGAAAGCCAAATAGTTTACCAAGGTATATAAGTTTTTGTTTTAATAATAGTACACTAAATACTAAGTTAATTATAATTTTTGTAATATATTCCTATTTATTATTCATTGGAAATCGTAGTATTTATTAGATAATATAGTTTTTTAACTGTGATATTTTTTAGAGCACATACATGCTTTAATCGCTTGGATCTTCCGCCATATCCTACACCTGAAATTTTGTATGAGAAGCTTCTACTGGCCGTAGAAGAGACGAATACGTTTGGAATAGAATAAAGTAAATTGTTTATCTTGATTACAGCAGATATATGTGGCAATGCAACAGGAACTTTGTGCATTATCTTGTTTAAATCGAATGAAGCATTTTTGCGGATTTAAAGGTATATTAGTGATATATTCTACTATTCAAAAACTCGCAATTGGATTTTTAAGATGACTACAATCAAAACTGTATTAAAATGTAAATATCTATCGGAAAAGAAGCAAACGGTTGCGCATATTTTGAAAATTTTAAATATTGTATACATGTTGCTGTAATCTATTTATATTGAATCTGAACGATGTTTCGCGCGCTCTATGTCTTGTATAAAAATAAGAGATTTAATACATTACTGCAAAAGATTTCGATATGAATATATACAATTAATTTTTGTTCAAATTTTTATGGTTACAAAGTTTATTGAAAAATCAATATAGACATAGTAATGGATAAAACTCAATTTCGAATCGAGACACGATACCGGTAACACATTTAGCGTGATTTATACAAAATGTTCTTTTTTCCACGGTTTACAAAAACACTCTTAACAATTTTTGTCTGAAATTGGAAAACGAACGTTGCATTTCGCGAAAAGTATACAGTGCAGCTATATTAGTAATTTATTCAGTGGTGTATTTAGTTTATAGGTACAATGATCACTTCTAGTCTTTATTCTTAAATACTAAATTTGCAGCTATTTTTCTTATATTTTTAGACATTCCATGTCAATTTACTTAACATTGTCGTAATCAGTTTAAGATGTCACCCAAGAAAATAGGAAAAATGTTAATGATATAAGAAATTCGTACTGCACATTTAAAAATATCTTGTATATAAGATATGGTCAATTTTAAAAACATTTGTCCATTGTTTGTGTGTCATATAATTTACATTTGGACCCAGTAAAGTTGAATTAAATATTTATAAATTGTCCAAAAAAACCGTCAATGAATACACAACGAAAGTATAATTAGCAAACGAAAAATATGTCAATGAAAGTAATAATAATTATTGTTCAATTATTGATTTCGCGTTTAATATTAATGTGAGCACTGTAGAATTATATTTGATGTATAGAGCATTTAAAAAAATTATTTGAATGCAGTTCTTTCAACCAATTATTATAACAGAAATATAGTAACGAAATATTGTAATGTCGTTACTTGAAGAATTGATGGACATGTAGATGCTCTTATGCTTCAAGAATTACTCTACCTCTCAAACTTTAATCTTGCTTCTGCAGCTTGAAAAAATTTTATCTCTTAACGGTTTAGTCGTTCCCTATTCGTAAAGACGAAAACATGCATGAAATTTAAAATATTTACTGATTTCTGACAGTGTATAAAAAACAATAGTAATGTCACTTTGTTTATATTAACTGAATTATACCAAAATTATACTGAATAATGACAAAGTGCATTAAATTATTGAATGTACATAATTATTGGCATTCATAATACACAATTTTTACTTATTAATATTTCAATTTGCGATCTTTTTGATCTTTAATGACGATAACGATAATGATGTCGTTAAATTACAATAATGAACTTAATAAAATAGTGGTGATAGTAATACTATTTATTAAATAGAAAACTAATGTTATGTGATTGTTGAAGATAAGTTGCACTTTATATTGTCTGTAAACTAGTCATGTAGCATAGCAAAATGGTAGAATTTAGTCTGTACTGTACAATGTTACAGGCATGTTATTCCTAGATAACACATTTATAATGAACTATGACTGTGTGAGAGCATTCTTTACTTTATTGTTAAAGAAAATAAAATGTGCCTCTTTTGTTATGTTACATTAAATATTGTTGTTTTTTACTTTCACTCGCCAAATTAAAATAATTTGTTTCCCAAACTAATGGGTTAATAGGATTTCCGTACAGAAAAAAGTACTCTAGCAGATTTAAATCAATAATAGAAGACTTCCGGAAAGTTCATTTTAATCGTACTATGTTATACAATCTTCTAATAATACGTACTGAAAAAAAACAATTATACGTTTACGCTTTGCTACTTTAAAGTGGGCATTACATTAAAAATTAAGAGTTAATTTTTATGTATATTATGTAAATTATTCTACATTATTTTTTTATATTTTTTATTGTCAGAAGAAATGTGTAAATTTCATGTAAACTCTGAAATCGTGAATGAGTCAGTATCGATCAACTTCATAGCAGTTTCGCTCGTGGTACTATTACTATTGGTATTACTACTATTAGAGTTTAGAATTTTGTACAGAAATGAATGTTGTAAGGACGAACAAAGTTACATTACGTTCTACAAGTAATATAAAGATCAATATTAGTTGTCCATATTTGAATTAAATTTCGAAATATGAAAATGATTGTAATGGTCAAGGTCATATTATGGTCGGAAGCGAAATAAGACAATGAGGAAAATTTCAAATACATGTATATTAGAGGTGGTATGTGACCAAATACTTTGATAGTTTATCATTAACTTAACCCTAACTCCAATATGAACTGAATTTCCTTTAGTACTATTTAATTGCAACATCTACATTAATCTTATACTCATATCCATATTTAATATTCTCTGTACACATTACAGATATATGTATGTATATCAAAAAGATAAGAAGTGTTAAAAGCATTAATTTCCTGAAAAATTATATATTTAGAAATGCCTAATATTGAACCCTACACACGCATAGTGCAAAATCTGCAAAATCAATAAACGGGTTACAAAGGTCATGACAGAGGGTGAAAGTACAAAAATAATGAAAAACGACCAACTAGAACGTACATGAATAAACAAATTTTATAATTACAAATCATAATGTGACAATGATAAATCCATTATAAAGTAATTTTTACTGTACTTGTACATCGATTTGAATGAAAGGTCAATAAATCTTTTCTTTTTGAAGAATGTAAACTTTCAAATCGTAATAGTGACATTATACATATCACCTTTTATGCAACTTTAAACATATCACCAATAGAAAAATATTTATCGGTTATATACATACACCGTTTAATCTAAATGCTTGAATGAAGATATTCAAAGGTCGTTTTCAATTTAAATTATTTTCACAAAAGTGTAAAAATCTCTACCATAGACATGAATAGCCCTCTAGTAGTGAACTTGAAAATTAAGTTTTAGCGGTATTTGTATTCGAAAACAATAAATGTTTTTAGGATAATTTATTTCATTTCATAGCTCTCTGTAGTCATGTAGTTTATATTTAATATCGTCAGTACAGTCAGTACATATTTATAAACTTTGTATACAACTGTGAGTCATAATGTATAGAGTTTAGAAAAATTGGATAGGTGAAAACCGAAAGGATACCGGTGATTATATCGGTTTCGGGACCATTTAGGTGCCGAGATGACTTCACTAAAATAATACGGTTTTTGAGTTTCTGAAAAGTAATACTGAAAGCGAAACAATACCAGCATTAAATCTCTGATTAGAATTATAGTAAGAAGAGGTTAGTAAACATATCAGTGCAACCAGTACTTACTATTAAATAGCCCATTAAATGACTTTTTACAAAAAAGGTAATTCGCAAGAAAGTAGAATAAGAAACGACACCCACGCGTGTTAGAGCCCTGACAACGTATAACATCCGCCGACAATGGTGTATCGAGTGCGCAAGCAAGCGAATCGAGACGTGCACGGTAGGCAACGGTCGGGCAGCGACTCGGCGGGCGCGCGCGCACATTTGCTTGGTTGCGTTTGCGTTAAACTTTGTCTAGACAGTCTAGAGTCTAGGCTCTCTCATCGATTGCTTTTTAGAAAAGCAAGTTATAATCAAATACCTCTGATACCGGACCATGGTCTATATAGTAGTAATGCATTAGAAAGTAAAACCGTCGCGTGCAAACCATCGTCCATGTTTCTTGTCCGGTCCGCGAGCAAGTACGGTTGCCGATTCTCACCTTTGCACAGGCAAATCAGCCGAGCCGCAAACTTATCGAGTAACGGCAGCCATCTTTGCTGCTCAGAAACGGGCTGTGGTTTGTGACAGAGAGACGGTAGTGGTTCTTCATGCAGTTCACGAGACCATCCCGTCGCCTATGTACCCTACAAGAGATTGGAAATCATTCTTAAGTGTGGCTAACTAGAAGAATTAACGAACTCGTGTCACGAATCCGGGCTACCGAAATATGGCAATGGAGACGCCAAGGGAGCGTGAGATCGCCGCGGAGGACAGTATTAAGGTAGTCTGCAGGTTTCGACCTTTGAACGACTCCGAGGAAAAGGCTGGCTCTAAGTTCATCGTGAAATTTCCCTCCGGCGGCGAGGAAAATTGCATCTCCATCGGGGTACGTTTCATACACGTCATTTTGATTTTTCAGTTATCCTGCTCGTTAACCAACCGTTCAGCTTACGTGTGATGTCACCGTGCACAGCTGACAGCTGCTCTAGGTCCTCTTATCCGTGGTGTAAGATCCACGGGTCGTATGCCATGCTCTTAATGTCGATGAAAAGCTTTCCATGTGAGACGCCCGATGATTCACATTTGTTATTTGTGGCGGAATCGATCTCAATCCGACTCCGTTGTTCCACGTTCTTGTAAACTATTTTCTTATATTGACGCAACGTTATTTGAACATGTTAATTGAAACCTCACTTCGAAATGGATACACGCCCGAACATTGAAAACGATAGAGCTTTTTCTCCTTTGAAATAGTCATTGAATGCAAAATTTTGTTTGATTAAATATGTATCTTGATTTAAGAGACAATCGTTTGATTAACTTTTCATTCGTTAGTCTTTACTGTAATCGGTAAATTTGTTACAATTAGGACTCAGACTTTTTTAGTACCTTATATTGATAACTTATTAGTTTTTAATTATACATATACTCAGAAAAAAAGGACACATCGATATATTTTGTTCAGCACCTTTGTATTATATGTTTTATCAGCACTGTTAAAATATAAGTTAGTTCATGTTCTATGAAAAAACATAGATAAATTACAAAGAGATTATTATCAAATGATTTGTATGATTAGCACTTTTGAACTGATAATGAACCATAATTCCTTTTCAGTTTTATATTTTTTTAAATACTACGCAAAGTATGAATGTATTTTTATAAATTTTCCATTTTAGTATGACCTTGTAATAATAATTAGTGTTATGGAGTTTCTTATTTATACATAAAAGTTAAAAGTATCATAGATATCAATTCTAAATACATTATCTTTCTATGAATATATTGTTTGCTATGGAGGCTTTTTGACCCTTCTTGATGCTTGAAAAAGATATTGCTATTGTTCCAAGAGGCTCATGAAACAAAGCTTTATTGAGTTCAATGGTTCTCCTTTTTCCAATATTCTTCCTCTTACCTGCAAGAGGTATAAAAGCAATAGTCAAAGTGTTATCTGAGAAATCAAAGTAATCTACTATATTCTCTGTAACTTTCAATTTTCACATAGCTACTCCTTTGCAATATAAAATCTTAAACAATTCACTAAGTAATCCTTGTTTGTATATTTTGAGTTAAATTTTAAGAGAGATGTGTATAATATCATCAATTATCTTTATTTTTTGTATCATGAAAATTCAATGCAATTCATATAAAATTCATTCAATTAATACTGATTAAAAACAATTTATTAGAGTAATGCGTTCAATTTACATAAACAGGTCTCATTGCATTTGTAACTCTTATCACTAATATTGTATAATATTAAATGTGTTTTCTAATGTAACATTATAATATTTTTTTAGGGAAAAGTATATCTTTTTGACAAAGTATTTAAACCAAATGCTACTCAAGACAAAGTATACAATGAAGCAGCTAGATCAATTGTCACAGATGTGTTGGCAGGATACAATGGCACTATTTTTGCATATGGTCAAACATCTTCAGGTATGTAAAAATCTGAGTGATAAAGTGTAAAACTGTGAGAGTCAAATAAATTCTTCTGAATTAATCAGTGGCTTAGTAAGATATTGTAGTAAAAATATCTAACAAGCTATTACTTATATAGATATACATGTATTTATATTTAAATAGGGAAAACGCACACAATGGAAGGTGTTATTGGAGATCCAAATAAACAGGGTATTATTCCCAGAATTGTTAACGACATTTTCAATCATATTTATGGTATGGAAGAAAATTTGGAATTTCATATCAAGGTATCATATTTTGAAATCTATATGGATAAAATCAGAGATCTTCTTGATGGTAAGAATCTCATTACATGAAATACACTTTATATTGGATACTCACCGTTTCATTTACTATTTTTCTTTTTATATTTGCAGTGTCTAAAGTGAATTTAAGTGTACATGAAGACAAAAACCGAGTTCCATTCGTGAAAGGAGCGACAGAGCGCTTTGTATCTAGTCCCGAAGAAGTGTTCGAAGTTATAGAGGAAGGAAAATCGAATAGGCATATTGCTGTGACTAATATGAATGAGCACAGTTCGCGTTCTCATTCTGTGTTCTTGATAAACGTTAAACAAGAAAATTTAGAAAATCAAAAAAAGCTTTCCGGAAAGTTATACCTTGTTGACTTGGCTGGTTCAGAAAAGGTTGGCTATACATTAAATTCTTATCGAATTTTTGCTTCTTAATGTTACGCACAAGTTTCATGTTTGTATACCACTTCAGGTCTCTAAAACTGGAGCAGAAGGCACCGTGCTCGATGAAGCGAAAAATATTAATAAATCGCTATCAGCGCTTGGCAACGTAATTTCAGCTTTAGCCGATGGCAACAAAACTCACATTCCTTATCGTGATTCAAAGTTAACTCGAATTTTACAAGAATCTCTTGGGGGCAATGCTAGAACTACAATTATCATTTGCTGCTCACCAGCTAGCTTTAACGAATCCGAAACAAAATCTACCTTAGATTTTGGTAACGTTATTCAGTAGTCTATAATGTTTCATTTACCAATAAAGTTCTAGAATATCACATTCACAGACAGCACAAAAAGTCAACAAAACACCAATGTACTCATATTTTTAGGTAAACGTGCTAAGACTATTAAGAATGTTGTATGCGTTAATGAGGAATTGACCGCTGAAGAATGGAAACGTCGTTACGAGAGAGAAAAAGAAAAGGCAGCTAGATTCAAAGGAAAAGTTGAAAAATTGGAAGCTGAACTATCACGTTGGCGTCAGGGTGAAACCGTTAAAATAGAAGAACAAGTCAATTTGGTTGAAGCACCAGATGTTACAACACCAATTAATGTGTCCATTGAAGGTAATTGTACGATTCTATTTATAACAATAGTTAAGTACTGGCCTGTACTAAAACTAATATTTCTTAGGTAAAATTGACGATGGCCCAATGCCAGCTACACCTGGTGGCAGCCTGATGGCTGGTTCCTTGTCCAACGAAGAACGACAGAAACTGGAAGAAGAACGCGAAAGACTGTATCAACAACTGGACGATAAGGATGAGGAAATTAACCAGCAATCGCAGTATGTCGAGAAACTAAAAGAACAAATGGACGAACAAGAAGAATTGATTGCTAGTGCAAGGCGGGACTACGAACAACTTCAACAAGAAATGAATCGAATACAACACGAGAATGAAAGTGCTAAAGAAGAAGTTAAAGAAGTTCTACAAGCACTCGAAGAACTGGCAGTTAATTACGATCAGAAATCTCAGGAGGTATTTTCGTTAGAAGAAGTAATATACTGTATGGTGAAAAACATGAGAATAGAATTTAAAAGAGAGATTTATTTTATTCACAGGTTGAAATGAAAAACAAAGAACAGGAAGCTTTAACGGAAGAATTATTAACGAAAGAAGTAGCATTGAACACTACTACGTCAGAATTACAGCAATTGCGAGATATGTCCGCGCATCAGCGAAAACGTATCGCAGAAATGTTAGCCAACTTCTTAAAAGATTTGGGTGAAATTGGAGTTGCTATTGGCGGCGACGAGAACCTGAAGGTAAGTGAATCATTCGAAATATTTACAATGCAGAAGTTGAAAAATGTAAATACTTACATATTTCGTAGGTTGCGCCGGAAAGCAATGGTAAACTTGAAGAGGAATTCACAGTGGCGAGACTTTTCATTAGCAAAATGAAATCAGAGGTGAAGAATTTGGTACAACGTTGCCAAGGATTAGAAAGTTTCCAAGTAGACTGTAACAAGAAAGTAAGCGTTCAATTTCGTATTCTTTTAATTCGTTATGTTCAATTCGCACACTGTGATGTTCATTCGTGTGTATATGTTAGGTTGCTGAATATGAAAAAGACTTGGCCGAATGTCGTCTACTCATCTCGCAACACGAGGCTCGTATGCAGACATTAACGGAATCGATGAAGGTAGCAGATGCACGTAAACGTACTTTGGAAGAGGATGTCGATGCTTTACGCGAAGAGTGTGCTAAGCTGAAGGCTGCGGAGCAGGTACAAGCAGTTACGAATAAAGAAAAAGCGGAAGAAAAAGAAGCGGCGACGAAGATGAGAGTGGCATTGGAAGAACAAATGGATCAGTTGCGAGACGCTCATCAGAAACAGGTAAAATTATTATGGCTATATTCCAACATGTAATTACTTGTTCTCAATATCGTATTATACCAAAAATTTAATACTATTACAGGTTGCTGCGCTTAGAGACGAACTTTCTGAAAAGCAAGACTTAATCAGCGAGCTCAAAGATTTGAATCAGAAATTCACGTTAGCCCATCAACAAATGCAAGCTGACTACGAACGATTAAAGCAGGAAGAAGCGAACAAGTCGGTGAAACTGCAAGAACTAATCTTGCTTAATGAACGCCGTGAACAAGTGTGTATAAATGCGATTCTAATATATATTCGTATAGTTAAAAAAATATGTCTCAATTACTACCTCATTCAATACAGGCCAGAAAGGATCTCAAGAGTCTGGAAGAAACGGTAGCCAAAGAACTTCAAACATTACACAATTTGCGTAAATTATTCGTCCAGGATCTACAGACTAGAATAAAGAAGACTATGAACTCTGAGGATAACGAAGACGACGTTGGAACGCTTACGCAGAAACAGAAGATTTCATTCCTCGAGAATAATTTGGATCAACTTACAAAGGTACTTGGTATAAATTTTGATTTTTTTTTGTTTTGAATAAACTCAATGTGAAATTTGTGCTTCTCGTAGGTCCACAAGCAACTTGTTAGGGATAACGCTGACCTTCGCTGCGAATTACCGAAGCTTGAAAAGAGACTGCGAGCTACGATGGAACGAGTGAAAGCCCTTGAAACGGCATTGCGAGACGCCAAGGAGGGCGCGATGCGAGACCGTAAACGCTACCAGTTCGAGGTAGATAGAATCAAGGAAGCTGTCAGACAGAAAAGTTTGGCTCGTCGCGGACCTAGCGCACAGATTGCTAAACCGATCAGGGCCGGTCAACATCACAACTTAAGCAACGTTAACGTTATTAGAACAGGAAACCGTGGTAAGTAAAGAGCTCAAATACACTTGATCGTGTAAAATTTATATATCGAATCTTTCTCTCTCTTTTTTTTTTAGATACAAATAATTAAACATCTACATTGTGATTGTGAAATCGTGGGTTTGTTCGATTTTGTACGAAAGGAAACGGTCCGGGACGCTCTACATTTTAGAGTAAGTGGGTCGTTTGATATGTTTAATCTTTCGCCCATCGGTTCAACTAATACGATGCGCGATAATAGTCATTAATAAATTCATACAGTTTTATAGAAAAAATACCTGGAGGCATGATTGTTATTAAAAAACGAACAAACCTTGCGACAATTTGTTAGTTACATTCTTTTTTTCTAAGTAAATGGACATATGGATGGTGTTATTTATTAAACAAGGCAAATTAAGTTTTAGTTAATCAATGTTTTTGCTGGTGGAATTTTGATATTTGTTTATTTTTGTCTTCATGTTTCTATTTAGATATGGGTAACAACGTACAGTGATCGTGAGCATAATGCCAAACCCTTCACTTTTACAGAAAACGTATGCAAGAAAGTTTTCATCGATGAAAAGAAAAGAGTTCCGGAGACTCTGATTTGTAGTGGATACACATAAATGTTACGATTATATAGTAAGGGCAATAGACGTAATATATCCGCAAGGAGCACCGCCAGTTCTTTTTATTTGTCTCGAAACAAGCATGTACTTAGGTATATTCAAATATGTGCATTAAGTTATGAAATTAGCGCTGCATGTCCCATCGACTTGTACATAGTTAATTTTTATAAATTATTTAATTTAATGTCATGCACGACAAATAAAGGTGAATGTCTATCAAATAAACACGCAAAGGCCTCTCGTAGAAAGTATTTCGCTTATTCGTATCGGAATTTTTGTACCACTATGTGTCCCGTTTCTGATATAAATATCATCAAAAAAGAAAAGACAAAGTAAATTCCACTTATCGTTAGATAAGAAGTAAATTCTTGCTATTCGTCAAAAATATGTTTTGATCGACTTGTCTTTAGTAGTTTTTTTTATTAAATCTGTTATTGGCATTAAAAAATTGTAAACGAACGAGGCCGTACTATTTAACATTTGGTAGGTATCGCTAACGTGAGATACGATCGGACATGCGGCCTTGAGAAACATTGTAGGTATGATTGTGGCTTATAAGTATTTGTAATTGTAAGAATTCTCTCCATTGCTATCGACAAACTCGTGACTAAAAATTAATTCCAGGCCTTCTTGGAGGACTCGCTTAACCGATCGTTAAGTTTGCCGGTCACTCTAAAGATTACTGAAGGTTTACGAGCCAATGGGCTTTACGAGAGAAAGTTTTCGACAGAACAATTTCATCCCAATCTTCATTCACGTTTATTTTTATTAATTATATACAATCTAGCTTTCATTGAATCGATCTTTGTATAATCATTTAATTTAAATTAATTTATTTTCGCTTATTCTTGTTTATATCAGAGGCTTCTATACTACATTTAAAACCCCGCAGTCCAACGAAATTTGGTCTGTAGAACAAAGTCTTTTGTTTTAGATAAACAAGTAGTTTACATTTCTTCATGTTGAGCTTGTGCTCAGAAGTTACCTAAATATATAATTAAAAGTATACCTAATTCTGAGCTCTTGCATAGGTCTGCTTAAGTTCCTAAAACCTGCTGCAGGCCACTAGTAAGTCGCTCACACGTATTTCATTTTTTCTTTCCAGAGTAGTCAAGTACATCGTACACACACACGCATACATGTGCATTTTTTTTTACTGAACTCTTACCTAATATTCATCAATAATTAGTGCTTTTTATCTATTTTTTGTAACAACTTTATTTATGATTCCCTTAGAAATTTTCAAGTCACGTATACTTGATATATTATCCAGAACAGGAGAATTCTATACATTTATTAATTTAAGACTTATAGCTTTCTGTAAACTGTGCGCAACAAAATACCTGTTCATTCACAATACAATGGAATCTTGTTACGCTCAGATGCTTTATGTCATAGAGAAAAGTAAAAAAGAATTAACATTTTTTTTTTTATATAAATCATTTTCATTCTCTCTCTCTCTCTCTCTCTCTCTCTATCGTTGTTGGTGGACAGCGACAAAAGAAATCATGTTTCCACGTGAGATCATTTTTGTCATCTTCCGTTTTGTAAACTTTTGTGATATCGAGGGTGAAATTGTGTTTGCTAATAGGCAAAGACAAGCGCGTGGTGCATAATGAGTGCAATTATTATTGAGATATTCTTGTCAAATGTATGTAAATATAATCGTATATCCCATTACATTAGTTTGGCAAATCAACAGAAAAAAACAATCCTTAACGCAAAATGTAAAGCCTACTCGTAAAAGGCTGCAAATACATATATGTATTTATCGCAAAGATACACTATAATATTAACGTCTTAACGCCTTAATGATCTTCAAAATATTGTCATACAATGTATTTTTCATTCTATTGTGCAAGTAAGGTATTAACACGTGTCCGCTGAATTTTTCATCATGGTTCAACGATTTTTTTTCTTGAGCAGCTGAATCGTGAAGCAAAATATCAGCCTAGTCCGATTGCTTTGATTGCGAGTTTCAGGCATCGGCCATTTCGCTTTACTAAATAACAGTTTATTTTTATAAACTATTGTAAATGCATTATCGATTTTTTCAATGTGGATAAACGAACAAATTCTAAGATGTTTATCCAACGTGTTTGTGTTAAAATAATAATACAATGACGATAGTTATTCAAATATACGAATCCACAGTCTGTTACTTATTTAAGTTAAACTTAAAACGCATTTTCTTTAATCGGCGTACATAGCTTTTTTTCGTCAACAAAGTTTGAAATTAGTTAGCGAATATTATTATATAAAAAGTTTTTCCGACTACCCGACACTTGTTGAAAAAAGCCCTTTTAATGGGAAATCTTCAATATGTACACAAAAAAAAAATAAAACAGAAAACTCAGAGTTATTATTATTTTCATAATACGTCAAGCGTGATTAAAATGGTAATGAAAAACAAATCGTAGTCAACATGTATTCACATAAGAAGGCAAAGATCACTGTTAAAGAGGAGGTTGATCTATAACTGCTGCCGATTTTTTTGTAAACTGTAAGAAATATGCGAATGTGGAGGAAATAAATAAGTTGACAGATGTAGATATTCGTTTCATTGTTTTTGCAACATGCGAGAAATACGTTGTACCAGAAAATTGTGACAAACCTATGTAGTTATCCGATGTATTTTGTTGCGTTGCGCTTTGTTAAAAAAAAATTATTGTACGTCCTACATTTGCGCTCATTAAATTAGGCTTCACCTCGTATAAAACCCCCAGGCAATATGAAAATCTATATTGCAGCTAAACGATGTATAGCAAGATCTATTTGTATTGAAGTAGGTTTACTATAAAAATGCAGTGCAACTAATAAATTCTTTTTCAATGCATGTTCTGTGTCCACGTTAAAACAGCATGTATATTCTGAAGTCCTTGATCAAGTTCAGATCTACCTCATCAATAGCAGAGAATAGGATAAAGTAGTATCTCTAAACATTTTCTTAGCCTTAAAAGGTAGATTTGGCGCAGGGTCTAGAGAGGCTGTAGCTACAAGGTACTATATATTACAATATTCACAAACACCTATCCATAATTAATTGGAATTACTTTTAAGGAAATTTATTATTATTATTCTTATTACTATTATTAATCAATGAATAAGATCACAATGCTGGCATTAACAACATAAAATAAATACATTGAATTTTTATTCACTATGATACCACCTAAGCCTAGACTAGCGTATTTATTTAATAAAATAATTATGTTACACATAAATCTGCGTTTGTTTAATATTCAAACTATGGATAACTTCAATTTTGTTTATTGATTTTATATGTATGTGAGAATGTAAGGACATTTTGTAAGTTCAGTGGGCAAAAGAAACACTAAACATTCATGAAGAAGGTATTGTTTTTGAGTTCAAGATGAATGTAATGAATTGGAACTTGGAGCAAAAATGTTTAGAAAGTACACTGTCATTACGAGATTTACGAGCAAAATTATTTCCACGGAAAGATCACAAACTTGATCGTGCACTAACATCAAGTGAAGATAAATACACTTCAAAAACTTTAGAAGGCAATTGGTTTGAACGTAGAGCAATTTATACACCTCAACCTGTTCATTGGAAAACAACATATGATTCCGATTATAAACCTAATGTTAATACGACTTGGAAAGAAAATCAAATTATAAAATGGGATAACAAACTTAATCTTGAGGTACATAAATGTTTAATATCTTAAAATTGTAGTTTAAAGCAAACAACAGAAAAGACAGTGAAGTCTACTCAAGGTACAATACTTCTAAATGTTGTTACTACATCTGCATAATATATTTGTATACGATTTTAATATAAGGGTTTAAGTCGAGAAAAATTACTTGATCATAAAAAGGAATATTGTAGCAACATGACAACAACTTACGATCTGTCTTACAATATTTTACCAAAAGATCTTAAAGGACCTAGAATCAGAACATATCACGCAAAGTACATATTTCTTTTCATGCTACTTTTTAGTCACTGATATGTATTACAAAATTATCTTTTCTACTTGAAGAAAGCGAAAATGGATTCCAGAGCAGGATCTGACCAGAAATTATGGTAGTTTAACTAACTTTGGACTAAAGGATGCAATAAATGAAGAATTTTTAAAATAAATCAATTTTTAATTTTTATTTTCACTGTAAATGTTATTAATAATGAATTTTCTTCAAGATTTAACAGACGAATAGTGGATTTCAATGTTCCAGATCTTACCCTTCTTAAATCTGGAGCATTAACCACTGAACACTGTTTACTTCCATTTAAAATAAATAATTTCAGGAAAAATTCAAAAGAAAAAACGTGAAAACGCTCGGTGTGTAAATTAACTCATTAAAAATTATAACAAAATGTGATATTTAGGGCAAAAATATGATAATGTATATTGTATTAAATTATTTTAACGCATTGTGTAGTATAATAAACATGTCATATATTTTTACAAATGCGCAGAACACCTTAGATTCATGATTTATACATGTATAAAATTGTTGATTATAATGTAATACCATAAAAATTAACTACTTATCACTTATCTTCAATTCACTAAAAGTCGTATTTAAATTATCAGTACAGTCTTATTGGTGTTTACTTAAGAAGAAAATAATTGATACATGGAAGCACACATATATAAGTATTAATTGATATTAACGAAGTTCAACTAGAAAGAAATTAAGCTCAATTTCAATACAATTTTAAAGTAACTACAAAACAATTTAAAGGTATGGTAACAATATTATTAAAATGTACATTGTAATCTTCCTTTTCCTTTTATGGTATTGCTAACTTGTACTTTTACCGCCTGCGGTTTTTTTACCTATAAAATCATTCAATAATGTTTCAAATTTACAAAGACTTAATGTAAAGTGTAAATAAGATCTTCGTAAATTTCTTATATTCTTTTTAACTTAAGAAAATTGAGGAAATAATTCAATGGATATGATTAAAAACCATTATAATGAAAATTTAGTGTATATTGAAACCATATTTAGATTTCTTGTAAAACTTATTGGTCTATTTTTAAACGAGTGTAATACAAGACTGCAAGTACCAAAATTCACATAAAGAAAATAACGCTAGTCATAATAACAGTATCGTTTTAACAAGGTTTACAATCAGTACGCTAATATATTGTAATGAGTCATAAGAATCAAAATGTTGCACATTTTCTTGCACGCTCACGAGCAGTCATAAAGTTAAATGGAAAAAATAAGGATCATTGTTATAAAGTGAAAATAATTTCAGATTGTTTCACTAGTTCTTAATTTTTTAATTTGTTAGTTTATGTATGTATCTCACTAATGAACACATGTGAAGAACTTTTCCTTTACCTCACCTTTGGTGATTTACATTATCATACCAGTATTTTACTTTCCATTATTATTCCTCCAACTCAATTTTCAGATTATTGTCTAAATTCGATTAAATAAAACAATAGATAAGAAACAAACCTAACAATTACTTATGATACCTTATCATATTAACAAAAATCTATGATAATAATAGAAAATTGTATACTGGCAGTGTCAACACTTGTTCATTGTCAGGTTGAAAGATCAATTCCATTGGTTGATTACTATATGACAAAATAGCAATCAATCAATGTATAACTAAAATACATATAAATAGTAAATGTAAACTAAGGAAACATGGCAGAAAAGATTATAATTTATCTTCTATTTAACGTAACAACGTAGTACATAGAACTATTATGTTTAAAATAAGAGAACCGCATAAAAGTGCTGATAACCAAACAGGACTCGTTACAATAGTGGTATGACTAGGAAACATTTGCATTTTAGAGGAATTTTTTATATCACTTACATTCGTATTCTTTGCTTGTAAATACTGATCCATAAAAAGTGAACCATTCTTCTGACCAGTCTGAGATACTAATAATTTCTGGGGAGTATACAGATTCGGCAATGTGAATTTTAATGTTTGATTATTAACTGAACTTTTAAATTCTGACAATGGGAACTGTAGGCTTTGTTGATAGAACGTTCCAATAGGACTAATGTTATTTTGTCTTTGAACATGACAGGACTGAGTAGTATCCGACATGATTGAACACTGATCGAATTCATGTATAGATGGTTCTCTGGATGGAGCAAAGTTAGAACCAACAGAACCAAAGCCAGAGCTTTGACTAGACGATCTGGATAATGTTGGTGGAACAATGCCATCTTGCCAGTATCCACCAGCTACCCATGATGCTTGTGTAACTGATTTCAATTTAGGTGGAGCCAAAATATTCTTTTTACTGGACACGCCATTTAATTTTTTAAAAAGCTCAGAACCTCTTGTACTGTACACCTTTTTTTTAAAAATGTTGGGTGTTTTATTTGTGTACTTTGGTTTATCTTCACTCAAAGATAATGTGCTTAAGGTGCTTAAGGTGCTCAAACTGTCATTCAAAGAATAGTTCTCAACCATACTGTTATTATGAATTGATGGAGAATTGTATAATATGCTGTTGTCAATAATAGGTGTCGTTGACAATTGTGATTCTTGATTGGTGCTGCAATATTTAAAAAAAAGCTTATTGAAATAATAATCTTTTGTGCTGATTGTGTATAAAAATATATATATAAAATCGAATTAGATTACTTACAATGAATTTTGAAATAGTGTAGGTTTAGAACTTGATCTATCCGTGCAAAAGGGCATACACTCATTTGTTAGATTTGGTGTGAATACATTAGTTACTGTTTCACCTACATCATTTATAATTTTAGTATCAAAATTATGCTTATTATTGGAAGTAGTTATACATGAATCAGATAGCATTGTGTTTTTGGAAAAAGATTCCATTTTTTTTAATGTCATGTTTTTATTTATAGTACTTTTGTAAGTTCCTGGCTTAATATTAATGAAGCCTATAATTGATGTAAACAACATAATCTAAAAAAATATAATTAAATAAATTTAATGTCTACTAACCAAAATTTTACTATTAATATAATGAATTTATTCAACTTATCATCTTACCATATGATACTGAGTTATGTATTCAAAAGAGAACCATTTATTTTGTAAATCTGTTTTCATTATCTTTGAGTCTTTAAAAGGTAAGAGTATAATAATACAGATCCATAAAAACATAAGCAATATATCAGAACTTCTTCTTCTAGCAGATGCTACACAGCATGCACAGAATTGAAAGAACAATCCTCCAATTGGCAAGAGTACAGAATCCATGTTGTATGCTACTATAGAGTCCAAAATTGTTGAAATTATTCTAAATATTGATTCAGAATATTTAGTGTTCTAGGAAAGGTAAAAAAAAAACTAATGGTAAAATATTTCAATAATTTCTAACCACATATTGCATTATGTATACTCACGTTAGCAATTAAACAAAATGGTTTTTGCTTAAATAACAACATTTTGTATTTTGCAAGCCATAATGCTTGTTTGTATAATACATTATACACTGTATTTTTACAATTCACGCACAATGGATACTCCTGTTCTAAACTCTCTTTAAATTGTTTTACCTCCTGCTCATAATTCTTGTCATTTATAGGTATATAGTTAGACAGTCTTGATATTTTTAAGGTTTCATTCGTTATACAGTGATTACAAAGGCTACTAGTTGATAGTTTCTCGACTTCTACATCCTGACCAACTGAGCAATACCTTTTGCTATTGTTTGAAGAAATCTTATATTGTTCTGGTATACTATATGCATAATCACCATTCTAGAATTTGACATGAAAGAAAAATAGAAATGATTTTCCAGAATATATATGGAATTTTAACAAACATTGAATAGGTAATTTGTTTCAATCTTATGTTAATACATATTCCCATAATTTTAAATGTATCTAATGAACCAGTTAATTTGACCTGGTAAAACAATTAAAATACATTAGGTATAATAATCCAGTAACAGAATTAAGATTTTTAGAAATATTTTTGCATTATAAATATAACTGTTACTATTTGCCATGAATGTATATACTTTGAATTATAGGTATGCTCTATTAAATTTTAATTGAACATATTTCTTTACCTTGGAAAAACCATTGTATTGTTCACAATGTGGACACAACCACCAGTTAAGCTGCTGCCGGCAAATCTTACTGTTATCATTACAAAACCAGCAGTTCACTTTTACAGGCCATCTCAGTCTAAGAAATAAACGAAATCGTGTTAGAAATGGAATTATAAAACGAAAAATACTAGAATATAGTAATACACTTACTTTAATTTTTGGAAGACCGTAATAATAGTGACGATTACAAACAAAATGGTAGAAAATATTGGCATAAAATTGAATAATAAGTCGAATTCCATTTTTTACACGAGAAAAATAGAAAAATTACGATTAAAATTCATCTCCCGCCAAGCGGCTAGAGTCTCTTTACCTTAACCTATGTGTTTGTATGTGTATATATATACTGTGTAAAAACCATGCAGTCGCGTGATGTACTGAATTTTCACACTTGCACTTTGAATACTATACAGTTTACACTAATTACTGAAAAATACTGTTTATCACATACATTAAATCTTTATACAAAACTGTAAACCGACGAACCACACACACAGCATCGTCAATTTAACTTTCCATGCCGCCATCCATTTTATTCTGTTTTATCCTACGAACTTTTAAGCACCATCTTACCACAGACGAGATATATGCATAGACCTAACATGTAATGTAATTTTCTGTCCCATGCTTCGAGGGCGTCAGAAGCGGAGAAGCCCCCTTACCATTTTAATGTCAATATCCGACGTTACCGATAAAGCATGAATTCTGAGTATTATCAGCACAAATGAAGTGTTATATATTCCATTCATATTGCGTGTATCTATATGATTTGATGGGAATAAAAATATCCGATGCTTCAGTTTAAGGTTAAGGTATCTTAAATACTACTTATGTACTCGATTTTACAATATATTTATTATAATATATGCATAAACTCAGTAAAACACGGCTTAAATATTATTCCGACTTAGTGTAATTTATCTGTCGCAGCAAGTTCTACTTCTGAAGCTGGTAGATGTTCCGTACTATCTTCAAAGTTTCGGCTGCATACGATAAATGTGCGTAATAAATTGCAGTATTCCTTGGCCACATTCAATCTGTTATTGTTACCTGTAGGTGACGGGAGAGTGGACGGTAGTGAAATGATTGAGTCAACATGCGCTTGAAACATGGTCTTTATTACTGTTGTTCGTGTAACTCTCGAGTTTGGTTGGTCCTTGCTCGTGCAACTGTAGCAACTGAGCGCAGACTGACTAAAACTTCTGGGCTGAATGTATTTTATCCAAACGAGGTTCCGATCATTGGCGTACGAATCGAATGTCAGATGAGTGCTCGATCCGGTATCTCGTCATCTCGTCTGATAGTCTGATCCCGTTTGTGGCTCTGCAAAAAGAACCTATAGCGATGTAAATTGATGTAAAGATAGGTTGTTTTTTTATAGAAAGATTTGACAGACGTAAACAGTGATAAATCTGACCATTTTAATTTCGTATAATAATGTCATTCTGATAAAAAAATGGCCGACACATTAGAAAACATTAACCCTAAGTTGTACAGAAAAATAGATGACAGACAAGTTACTGCTCACGACGAAGATGAAGATGTAGCAGACGAGTTCGATACGCGCGAAATTTTTGGTGTGCATTGATAAAACTTTTTAGATACTTCAATTTAAAAAGTCATAATCTATATTTTTCGATAATATTTGATTTATGCGTTTCAATTTTTAGATCTTATTAGAAACATCAATGACCCTGAACATCCCTTAACATTAGAAGAATTGAACGTTGTGGAGCAGAATCTTATTGAGGTAATCATAATACAGTAATAATACAGATTTCTTATAATTTACAAAAATGTTTTATTATAGATTGACAATGAAGCAAACAAAATTCATGTAAAATTTACTCCGACCATACCACACTGTAGTATGGCAACATTAATTGGTTTATCAATTAGGGTTCAACTTCTAAGAGCTTTGCCTTCAAGGTTTAAAGTTAATGTTGAAATTACACCAGGTACTCATATGTCAGAAGCAGCAGTGAACAAGCAACTGGCTGATAAAGAAAGAGTAGCAGCAGCTCTTGAAAACAACCATTTACTTGAAGTAATTAATCAGTGTGTTGGAATTAAATGTTAACAGTACAATTATAAAATCTATAGTTTTGTGATATTATCCAGAATATACAAGACGTTTTATTTGGAATGTTTAAAATGTGTTTTCAATTAATTTTGTGGGTAGAATTAGTTATCAGAGTAGTAAATGGTTATGATGAATCGTATATAGAAAGTTAAGTAACACTATTTTATTCATAAACAATTACACATTTGATATTATCTTTTCTTTGATAAAATTTGTGCAGCTGTTGGAGGTTTTTTAGTTGGATCGTATTTGAACGTCTTCCTTATAGGACCTTTTGCTGCTTCATTAAATTGTATTGCATCTGCTTGTGCTTGATTTGCCAATTTTTGAGATATTTTCATATTTGTCCAAGCTGAAAGATTCGGAATTTAGTACATATAAAACACTATATTAAATGTATGATTGTTATATGAAATTACAATTTTTGAATCCTTCTACAAAGCCTTTTTTTCGTTTGGAACTTGTTTTCTGTTTATGTACTACAACAAGTGGAATTTTACACAGTTTTCTTATGATTTCTATTTTTAGTATTCCAACTTGAGCCAAGGTAAACGTATTTGTTGATAGCCAATACAATAAAATAGCCTAAAACCATACACAATTAGATTGAAAAGTTAATACATTAATATTAATAAAAAGATTCGCAAAATCGAATTACTTACTGATGGGAAATTGAAGAAAAAGGGTAATATGACAAGTGGCACAGCTCGAAACAGATACATTGTCATTGTTTGATTAGCCATAGTATTGGCCGATAGAATGCTAAATTCAATCGTTAGAAACATTGTTGCAGAAGTAAATATAGGTAGTAAATAATACGGATCAGGAATAGCTAAGTCTGTAAACCATAATATTCCACCAGTTCTTAAACTCTCAACTGGAATATTAGTCATTCCTCTCAGACCTAGGAAGCATGAAATAAATACTGGAGCCTAATAAAGATAAAAATATATTAAACAATTATTTTTAAAAACACAAAATAATTCCACATAATAATATACATACCTGTAGAAGAGTTATAAACACAGATTTTAAAGGATTAACGTTTTTTTCTTTCATAAATTTATATAACTCTTGACCATACATAGCAGCTGAAAATAAAAGTACAATTTATTATGTCTACTAATAGATTAATACATTTATTTTATACCTTCGTACTGATCTCCCAATTGCCTCGCTGTTGTCATTTTCGACTGTATCTTTTGTACTTCTGGTAGATACTTCTGTGTGTTCGCAAGATGTCTTTGGCCTAAAATCACTAATGGAAATAATAGCAATCTGATACAGAGGGTACTGACCACAATAGTTTGCCACCATGGTAAGTCACAGGAAATGTGAACCCATTCTAAAGCTGACTGAACTAATCCAACGGGACTATATCCACCTAATCCAATACTCTGTAAAGTAAGTTCACCATTTGGATGCACCTTGAGAACAGTTTCTACTACTTCTGGTATTGCCGGTACATCTATGGAAAAGATTATCGAAATTACCCATATCTTTTTAGATATGACAGTTCATTAACTAAATTATATATCAAAGAACTTGGCTGTTCAAGGACATTTCCTGATTGCACATATCATGGACATTTAGTTTTACAGCAGCCACTTTCTTTAGTATCTACCATAACTGCAATATATTTGTCCATGTAAGCAGGAAATCTATTAACCTGGTAATTCACTTATTGAAACTTTCTCTATAACTGTATCGGTTGTGCTTTCTACTGCTTTCTGAATCTCTTGTGCAGCTGACCCTAGAAAAATATATTTCCATTAATGTTGTAAGCGAATATAATAACTCATAAAATTAGACCCTGAAGTGATGAATGGCACATATTACTTTATGTAACTTTTTTAAGATAAAACAACACAATGCTCTAATTATTTTACATGTTTGCTGCGTTTTGTACATCCATTATACCTTCTGATGCATTTACTACAGTTTCCATTGATTTTCTATCAATGGTACTTTGATGCCTTGCACAGATAATCTTAACAAATTCTGAGTGTCTCTGCACATTGAATATACAATTGTTTTTCGACAAAGTGTTTGTTATATTGTAAGCGATATGACCGAACTCGTATTTTGTTGTTTTCTAAACAGAAGTACATTTTATGGTCAATTTTATTTGTAGGGATACGTAATACAGTACGTAACCTCTGCATGGCATGAAACTTTAAATTACCTGAGAAGTTATACTTGCATTTAGCAGTAACCTTCGCCCAGCGTTTATAGATAATCGCAACAACATGTTTTTATCGGTGTGCTTTACAATTACTGCTTATTATTATTTTCTTGTAAAACAAGCACGCGCCTGCACGGGCTCCAGAACTCATGTGTACGTACCATACGACACATACACAGTGGCGTTTTCCTATATAAGCTGCATGGTTAATAGTATACATATTACTTTATATGTATATTTGGTCTTTCACCCTTCATTAGGTACTCAATTTTGATAAGGAAACTATAAAATTGGGTTTGATGACTTTAGATTCTATTGGATTCTATAAAGCCCAATTCATATCTCTCTAGGCCTTCGTGTTATCATGTTGTCAGAATTTTATTTAGAATAGGACAGACAATCAACATTGTGATCGTCATCTATTGTAAGTTTCAAGTTCATAATGTTTTTCATTATATATTAATATAGAATGCAATGAAGAAGACACGATCAACAACACTATACATACAACTATATAGTTATACCTGGTTATACCTATGCTGACTGACGGAATATTAAATCACTCCTTTTATGACGACTCCGTTCCATGTGTTGTAAAGTCGATCAAAAAGGGAACACAATTAAATTATCGATAGTTCATGTTTGGTATCTATGGAATTCCATAAGACAGTAAATGTGCCTAATGTTTGTGGTATGTCAGAAAATGCAGTCAACTACGCATTCGGCGTAGTGTCACTTTCTTGTATGAACTGAGTAAAGAATTCTTGCGAAATGACGAACAAGGCGAACGAGTATAAACCTATTGTAATCATATGATCCTAGTAATCGTCTGCAAGGTATGATCTCATTTCCTGGTAAATCGTACGTCCAGTAATAAAATATTTCTTTCTGATAATTAAATAGTGTTTCACTCTTTAACGTGCCTTTGCTATTGTCACAAGTGTGTTCTAGTTCATTTTCAAAATTAAACGACATCATTGACATTATGTAATGAATGACAGCTATTAACAATTCTTAAACACATCTATGAATTGTGACAGAATCGGTGCAATTAACAAATTCTAATTTTATTTAATAATAAAATGTAAAAAGTATTTAACTGTTTTGTTCTTAGGTATATGTATAGTTTGTGTTCGAAATACAGTGTACACATAAAGTATGTAATGTAATGATCCTAACTTTTGTTGCAAAAGGAAATGGATTAAATTATTATTTAATACTTTGTTACAGTTACATGTATGTGCATAGAATTTAAAAATGGCAACTGGAGGTAGTAGTTTTATAAGCAAACCAGCCAGAGGTTGGTTACACCCTGATCATTTAGTCAGTAAAGAAGGAATTACTTATACAGTGAAGGTAAGTTTTTCTTTGATATTTTTTCCACTGAAATTGAATATTTCAAGCAATTCAGAATTAAATACCTAATAAAATAAGGGATTAATATTTCGTGTATTTCTTTAATGGATTATAGTACATAGGATGTTTAGAAGTATTCACATCCATGAAAAGTTTAGACTTTGAAACAAGATCATGTATTGCCAAGTAAGTACTTATACATTTTTGTTCTACATATCTAATATGTTTGTATTTATGTAAGATTTTGTGTTTCCAGAGAATGTATAAACAGAGTTTGCGAAGCAGCCGGATTGAAGTCTGCAGATAAGAAACGAAGGGTACTTATTTAAAATATAAAGTTGTTGCTTTCTCTTTAAATACGTATTGAACTTATAATCCTTTATGTTTTAAGTATATAATATATATTTACATGCATTACATAGGTGGATAGAAGAGTGTTAAGAGCAATAGCAGACAAGCCACGCATGGAACATACAGGTGCTACTATAAATTTGACTATTAGCAGTTGCAGTTTAGCCTTGACTAATATAGAAACTGGACACATTATTGCCAAACATGAAATGCCACGAATATCTTTTGCCTCAGGTGGAGATACGGTAAAATATATTTTATGCTATTCTACTTTCCTTATTGTTCTCCATTTGTATTCAATATACTTTTAAAATATAAAATAGCTATATTATTTTAATAGGAAATACTAGACTTTGTTGCATATGTTGCGAAAAACATGCAAGAATGGCGTGCTTGTTATGTATTAGAATGCGGAGGTGGACTGGCACAAGATGTTATATCCACTATTGGACAATCTTTTGAATTACGATTTAAAGAATTTCTTACAAAACCAGCCTCATTACAGTAATTATAATATTCATATTTTATAGTCTTAAGTTTGAACTTATAAATTTCATGCTGCATCTAATACTTCCCCTTTTTTATAGTCCTATGTTAAATGGCATGCGAGAAGCGGATAGAGATTATTACAATGATCTTCCAGGCAAAGTGCCACCAGACATTGGTCCTCCACCAGTACCACCTTTGCCAACTGCAGCATCAACATTACCCAATCTAAAGCATCATCATTCTGGGCATAATAACATATCGCGAAGCAATGCACAGAATTCTATTTTGCATGACTCATTCTCTTCTAATTCTGACAGACATCATCAACAATGGGCAGGTAAGATTTATTTATATTGTGTGTGATTTTAGCAGAACATTTTTATTATACAGTTGTGATTGTGATTTCATTCTATAAGAACAAAGTTTATTGATTTTGCAGAAACCGGTAATTTAATTGACTTAAATTCTGATGGGACAACCACTTCGAATTTTAATATACCCCCTGAACACAATTATGTAAACGACAGTGTAATAGCAGCAAGCAGAGAAAGTCATCGTGATCAAACATCACTTTTTGATGTATTTGATATGCGTAAGCAATATTTAGTCATTAATATTATTTCTTTTATTAAATAAATGTAATAAAAAATTTGAACTTTGTACATCAGAATATATAACTTCCAGAACCATTCAGTTCTGCAATCTCGGATATGAATAGATTGAGTCCACATTCTCAAAAGCAACAATTAAAACAAGAAATATGGTTCCATGGTAGTGTTAGTCGTGCTGAAGCAGAATCCATGCTTACAAGAGTAAGAAAGATGAAAAATAATATTTAAAAATGTAAATGCTTATGTGGAATAGTTTAAGTACTATAACGTGTCCTATTATTTTAATAGGATGGTGATTTTCTGGTTCGAGAATCTCAAGGTTCGCCCGGTCAGTATGTTCTTACTGGTATGAATAATGGTACACCAAAACATTTACTGTTAATTGATCCAGAAGGTGTGGTACGTATACTCAATGAATCGATATGTTGATGATGTAAAATAGTTTACTCAATAAATGGAAAACTGTAATATAATTGATTTTAATTTCAGGTCCGCACAAAAGATCGTGTCTTTGATAGTGTAAGTCATTTAGTTAATCATCATTGCGACAATGTATTACCAATTATATCAGCGGACAGCGTTTTAGTACTTCGATATCCAATTCCTAGACGTACGAACAATTGATTTTTACAGAATTATAGTAGTGTCCAGAAAAATAAGGACTGTTCACATTTGGTATTTGTTGACTGCATCAATACTTAATGTAAAAAAAGTGCTTTCCGTAATTAAAAAGGATCCGTCAATCAATATGAATAACAAATATGATAAAAATCCAATATTACAAGTACTTTTACTTTTCAATATAATTGTGCTAAAGTGTAGTTTATAAAATTTTTCTCTATATTCTTACTAAAGTGAAGGGACGTTGATATAAATAAGAAAAGTTTTAATAAATGTCACCTTACTATTATTAATAACAGTGTCAAAATGCACAAAAAGAAGTATATTAACAATTTCTTAAATCATCAAAATTTATAAAAATTAGCTGGTGCATAAAATATCTACATGTGTGAACTGTTGCGTAAACATTTATACATACGAGTGATATATAATTTTAAAAAATTTTTCTACAAATTGAATTCATTTTTATATAAATCCAACAAAACACTTTTAGTAACTTCATTTTATTTAAAAATAATATCGCATCATTTTTATAAGATTTATATTCAAAGAGGTTTTTAAAACTTTGGCAAGATCAATTATTCAATATAATTCAGTACTGTCGCTAAATATCGTGTTATTCAATTAACTATTCATAGCCATTTGCATTTATGTCATTTATTCTCATAGTAATTCTGAAGATAGAATCATATATGTACTATTAATACATCTCAAAATGTGCCACAGTTCGTTAGTACAAATTCAGTACTCATTACTGAATAAAACGGAACATCTTTAATTTTATATGTAATTTGTACCGTGTAGATCATGGTTTTCATGAGGAGTCCATTTGTAATCTCATTCATTTCATGTTGTAGGATTTATGACTATAGTTAATACACAAAAATATATATTTTTACGAATTTGTATGATTCACGCTGTATAATATTTTAATTCTATATTTGTAAGATATTTGCTATTTGTAATTTCGATTTTTAATAGAACAAGTTTCATATTTGCATTACTTTCTATCTAAAATATATTTAACCAAATCGAATTTTGTATTTCTGTATATTATTTCTAAAAACATTCGCATTATACCCCCAGGAAATTAATTTTTGAAATATTTGACCATTTGAATATCGCTTTTCCGCAACTTCCGATCCGTTGAATTGCTAAAACATAAGTAACATGGCAAATACTATAAAAACGTCAATAGACAATCACCAAACCTCAAAGGCTCACAATAATTATAACTCCCACGAAGTGTTCGAACATTTCCGAGCTATTCAAACTATCTAGCTCGATCTGAGTCCGGTCATTTGGAAGTTATGAGACAGTGGATTGTTTCCAATCAAAAAGGGGAATTAATTATCAAACATGTAGAATTCGACAATTAGTGTACACATTTTCAAAATTAGTCATTTCGTACAGATCCATTAATTAAAATGTACAAGTATACCTTAAAATACATAACACACTTATGGTATAAAATTATTTACAATATCGATCTGCTTTCATTTTACTTCTTCTATCCAATAGAGTTTCATGCAAAGTTCCGTCACGCTTTGCTTTTTCTAATTCTGTATGATCCGCTTTGCATATCTTCAATTTCTTATCCTGAAACTTCTGGAACTTCCTCCTAAAAGATTTGTCAATACAGTAGAAGTGATTATTAGCAATTACAATTTATCTGTCTAAACTTACACATAGTTTACTTCAACATCTTGTAGGGAACCTTGCTCTTCTTTTGGAATATCTTTATTCGGATCTTGAGTCTTTTGAATTATACTCCTTATAGTACAAAATTCTGATGATCCAGCAGTCTTATTTCGACAAACAATATCATCCTCCTCTGTCAATGATATGAAACAATTATTGCTGTTTAAGATAGCAAGCTTGTTATCCTGAAAACAGATTGATTTGAATCTAATTTTATATTGTCACAATGTTTGTTAGTTGAACATTCATTGAAATACTTGGAAAATTGGCTCCCATTGTTCGATCATGCCCACTGCATCACTTCTTCCAACAACAACACCATTCTTATCAACACCCAAGTACTTTCCATAGCCCGACTTTAATGCAACTTTTGTTTCACCAATTGGAAATGCTGTCAAGATTTCTTCTGGAGAAGGTCCTTCACCATTGTTATGAGGAGCACCCAAGGTAAATAATCCATTATCTAAAGCTTTCATATAAGTATTATTCCCAAACTCAATGGCCACTGTTCCTGTCACTTCTGATACTTGTGTGGCTTTCCACCATCCACCTACACATTACACAAAACACATTTAATAATATGTACAAGACGAAACAATAAACTGTGTAATGTTGTAAATAATCAAATACCATGAACTATAGTGTCTTTATCGTCTGTGGTAGTAACATGTTCCTTTTCTTGTTTTTTCGATTTACGTTTTTTTGATCTATAAAACGTAGACAAAAAAACACAATAAAAGATTAATAACACGAAGAAATAAATGAATCAAATAGTGCAAGGTTAACTCCGTACCTTACTTTTTCACCTTTCAAAACTAATTTCCCTGTTCTTACTTTATCATATTCCGACATTGTTGTGTACTATTTGAATTATTATCTACCCTTTTAATTATTAACTACTTTATTAATCTCTACATTTATCTTTTGTATTTAAGATTTATTTACAATTCACACTGTCCACTGTTGTCCACTGTCACTGAAATCAACTGAAATGCACTGATTTATAACCCATGAAGGTGCGTTTCGGACATGAAATTGAAAATAAACGAAAGCAATTCATTTATTGTAAATTACCCTTTAAGCATATATTTAAATATTATTTTCATTTCTTGTTATTCGTTCTTTGTTGTTTCCTAAGCCTATCACTTCCTCTATCCCATATTTTTCATTAATAAAGAAATAACAATGGCTAAATACAGTTAAATACGTGTTAAAAATAAGATTAAAGTTAAATTTGGCACGAAATTTGAATTTTAAAAAAGCGCAAAGTCGCCACCAGATGGAGTCACTTAAGAGTTCTAGAATTAGTTCCAATTTCTGACACCACAATTTTAGCAAATTTGTACTTTTCCCGCGCTTTTTCAAGTTAAAATTAATCGCCCATTTTAACTTTAAATTTACTATTAATGCAATTTGAATTAAATTTAACAATTATTATTTACTTGTTTATGGATAATATGGGATAGAGTTAGCGAAAGGTATATTAAACAATGCGTATGTAAAATGGTATAGGGGCTCTACAGCTCCCGAAGCATCTGACAGAAGATTACATTTAATGGTAGGTCTATTCTATATCTCGGTCTGTGGCTACATGTAAAGGAAAAATACCATTTTCGGAAAATAATGTGTTTTGTAGAGGAAACTTCGAGGAATATGTTCAGGTTCAGCTTGGCACATAGCGGGGAAAATAGGTTAATTGAAATTCGTCTTGAACGCTCGATAAACTTTATTTTCATCCGTGTGTCGCGAGACATGTACCGACCTCTCGCATACAGAAACCTCTGCGTGTCCTCTGCGTGCATACGTGGGTCAGAGCATTAAAAAATAAAAAGACAACCGTGTGGCGGTGGTGTGTCGCGTTCCTTACGTAAAATACCCGTCTAAGAAGGCAATATCTCTTTCGTCGACATAGTAGGTCTTTGCCGCGGTGCCCTTACAGGGCTGCGCTATTAAGGCACTCTATGCCAGGAATACGTTCATCGTGCACGAGCGGTACAAAGAGGATCCATCGAGTACATAATAATAAACAATATTTTTCTCTCTCTATATATATATGTATATTAAAAAAAAAAAGAACGAATGTGTCTCCTGCTTCAAAATCGCAAATAAACGCACGTACATGGATGCAGGCTCTGATGGAAATTAAAAACTAGGCGTACCCTAAAAGTAAATGGACGGCGGTCTAATGCTTACTCTCGTATTCGACCCGTTCGACACCACTTCGCTTTTCGATTATGAATGCGGGGAATGTATGAAAAGAGAATTTTTTTTGTTAGAAAATGTATACAGGGTTTTCCTAAACCTGGTCTACGTTTTGAATGAATACGAATCGAACCGAACGTAATCACGGAAACACCTTATTTTCTGTTATTCATCGCTAAACGAATCTTTACTTATACCAGATAAAACTTTCCCGACTCCGTTTCTTACAAAAGTGATCTCTAAAAGCGGATATTTCTATAAAGATATTCGCGGCCTACTCATATCGATCCTCCATTTTCCATTCTGTGTGTTTCGTGGAGAGGTCTAGGAAAAGTACCTGTATAGTTCGTTCAAAATGCAGCCAGTTTGTATGTTTTTCGAGGGACTTCTACGCAATGAATTTTTCAATATAATAATACATCGGATTCTGTCGGGGCAGAACGGGTCGTGCATGTGTCGTAAACCTAAAACAACGTAACGTAAATGCTATTGATTGTACTTGCTAGAAACGGCAATGAAAATGGGGAGGGGGTGTTTGTTGCCTCTCTGACGATCCTGGACCTTCGTAGCCCGGACGTTTCTTTGAGGACACACGAAAATCAAACTTGGAAACCCGAAACAGCATCCTGTTCCAGTTCGACAAAATTATTCGTGTTCCCCAGTTTCGATCGAGTGTACTATTAAATTATAAGTGTCTATACAATCGCGACAATGTACAACACACGCTGGACTCTCTATACACAGTAGTACGATCGTAGAAAAGAAAATTCTGTTGCATTTGCACGACGGTATTGCAAATACGTTCGCACTAACGATACACTCTCGGCTTGTTAGAGCCTCGGGGAGAGAAGTCTAAGGGCTACGAAGGCCACTGTCCCGTGCTCCACAGGCATCAGTGATATTCGTTTTAGCTCGTTCCTCGCTAGGTGACGCGAGTGGTCTCTCTGGAACCGTTTCGACACTTTTCTTTCGGTTCGATTTAATAGATCCAGTTCACGGGGACCCATTGGTGTTCCGTGGCCAGGGAGTCCAGGGCGGCGATCACCTGTCTGAACGTGTTGTCGAAGTCCTCGTTCACGATCACCAAGTCGATGTACTTCTCGTAGGCGCGCTGAAGAGCCGCAGACTCCTCCAACGTCGACTTCAGATCGTCCTCCTATTGGACAGACTTTCGATTAATCTTCGGAAACTTTAGGGGACTTTGGGTGCAGTTTAGTTCCTTTTAGTGTTTGCTGTCGTACAGTGAACTCTGTCTGTAAACACGTTCAATCAGTTTACTCGAGATGAAGTGACCGTCTTCGAGATGACGAATGCTTTTTCCATGCATCGTATGAAAGAAATGGGCAAATATGAGAAACAGAGTTTACAAACAGAACTTGAGTTATTTTTCGTGTTATTTTAATGTGCCATGACTACCTGATAGTGAAGTATCGACACGTTCGCTACCACTATTTTGTTAGTGCAATGTATTTCTTCTATATACGTGTGTCACAGGTTTTTTAAAAGTTGTTTATGCAAACTTTGAACGGTTTCTTTTTAATCTAAATACATGGATGTTACGCTATTAAAATGCGTGAAATTGCTTCTCAACCAATCTAATAAAATGGGGATAGATGTGCATCGATCTCGAGAGAAATTAGCTATCTATGTATACATAACACTGAAGACTACGCTAATTTTTACTTCTTATCGGGAGACTACAAATATCGTCGATTTGAAGGTCGTAGAGCTTCTATCCCCACCATACAAGGTTGGTCCCTTCTTCCGGTCTTTCTCGTTGGGCTTGATTCAATTCGCTACGAGTACGTTTAACTAGCAACTAAATACCGTGCAATCATTATACAATAACGAACACAGTTCATGCAATACAAACCTCGTACAACGACGCAAGGGACTCCAGCGTTCTGGCCCTCCTCGAGCTGTATCTGATGGAACTCTGGCGGTCAAACTAGCAGAAGCGAACATCAAATACATACGAAAGATTAAAATAAAGATGGCTACACGAACTCTGAGGGGGGGGGGGGTGAATGAATGTGAAAAGAGCAGGTCTGAGTATTCGAGAAATGCAGACGAAAAGAACAGTCTTCAAGTCAACGCGAATGGCAACGTACAAGAAAGTAGTAATTTCTTGGGTCAAAACACGATCGTTGGATGGTTTCAATCGAAACAAAAATGCATGCGATTACAAAATTACAGTAACTAAAATTACATTTACACAACGACGGCAAACAGAGACTGGCAGGCAGGGGATCGATAGAGATTATATTGTATTGCCATTTTTCAAGTCTTTTTTCGTACACTTTTAGGGTAGTTCCTTTGTCAAGACTATTCGGTAATTGTACGGGGGAAGCAAACTCTGTACAGAAAGAACTAGCTTATATAAATGAAATAATAAATGTACTCGGGATGTCACCGCGCTGTAATTCCTACTGATAACGACCCAATACGGTCGCACAGATGTTTCTCAACTGTTCAAACAGTTAATATACGTAATCGAAGCAAACGACAAGTGTGTATATCGATCAATTTTACTCGTAGTACAATGTAACTGCATTCTCGATATCAGTACCGAATTCGGTATAAGAAAGTACAGAGAAGCGGAACGGAGTGATACGTATGGTGGTTACCATTAAATTTCGACTGCTCGCCCCGGTCGACCTTCCGAGGTCGTACAAACATTTCAGTTGCTCCATTCCGGGCGCAGCTATGAAAATCACGTAAGGCATGAATTCCGTGCTATTGTGGAGTATCTTCAACGCGGCTGGACTGCAATCGAGGACGCACATTTTCCCCGCTCGTATCAGCTCGCGCACAGAGTCCAGCTTCGTTCCGTACAAATGGCCCCCGTGCTCGCCGTACTCGAGGTACCGGTGCTCCCTGATGTCCGTTTCCATCGAATCGCGTTCCGTGAACCAATAGCTCTTGCCGTCCTCCTCGAGAACTCTGGGTGGTCGCGAGGTATCTGAGTGTACAAAAATATTTTCGGTTAGACTGGAATTTATGCTCTCGAGGGAAAATATTTGCTTGGCAATATCGCTTCCTCCGGCCCATAGATAGACAAACTATTCAGATTTATGACTTCGATGAGCTATATTCAGCGAATTAGAGAATTATTATTTTCGATAAGTTATAGTTGCTGTATGCTGTGGCTATTTTCGAGTTCACAGAAGAAAAATGAGCTGAGTACATAGTGTGCTTAAAAGATAGATGTTAACACTTATGGCGGAGCATTGGTACACTGACGAGCAAACTTGATAAAGAGTGGCATAGAGGCCTCCTATTACTTGGTCTCGAGAGTAACTGAAATTATGCCGAATAACTTGGTAAATTTATTTTAAGTACTGAGAGCATCTGAGGCTCTTCTCAATTCTATCCTGATGAAGGTTAAAGCGAATACCAAGCGTCACGTGGAAGAATAACAACAACGTACATGGGACAATAGTGCCAAATTTCTCAGGATCGCTGTTTATTAGCCTGTTCTTCAATGTTCTGCGACCGACCCCCCTAGGTCCAACCAGGGCCAGAGTTTTGCGACGAAACGGCGGCATCCTAGCGACCTCCTCGTACAGGAGCAGTTCTGCGCCGTCGAATTCGCCGTTCGACTTCGACTGGTACATCTTTCTCTTCTTCTTCTTGGAGATTCTGGTGCCGCAGATGCTTATCTTGTGAACGAAATCGGCCTCCGGCGGCACGAACGCTTTTCTTCGTTCCTCGAGCTCCAGGGACGGGATCAGACCCGGCGGACCGAGACCTTCCCCCTCCACCCGTCTGGCCTGCCACCAGTTTGGATCCGCTTGGTCGACGATCTGCAACACGTCGCCCTTCTGGAAGGGCAGACCGATCTCCCTGCACGGCAGCAACGTGTCCTCAGAGGGATCGTAGTCGAAGAGCGCCCTCATGTAACACTGAAATGGAAAATGTAGAATAAGTACATAGTAAAATCCTCGTAGTCTAAACCCTAATTGCGCGCAGAGTCGGTGTCGAGAGATTTCTCGCAGGCCTCGACCAAGCGTGTTCCCGAATAGGCGCGCCATTACGTTCGATCGTAAAAAGAAAAGTCGAGGTGTGGCGCCGACCACATTAATTCCGTAATTCACGACTAAACTGTAAACCTTAGAACGCCCCAGTGTTTTTCAAATACACTTTTATATCGCCTATAAACATTCCAACGTCATCGATTATAAATCGAAAACTCTTTTCTGCTGACGGGCGGCCATTTTGCAAAAATTCACCTCGAGAAAGTCGGAACAAAGTGGTTCCCCACATAATTAAAAATGGTTATCGAAAGTTTCGGGTTTGAAATCATGATATTAAGAATTTAAGTATCCTAATTAAGTAACCTTAGGAATTTAAGTATCCTATCTTAACAGGCCTCACAGCTGGAAACATCAAACTTAACGAGCATCAAATTGGATGTTCTATTTCAACGGCGAAATATTGTTTTAGCAATGTATAGGGTAAATTATAATATAAAAATTCGAAGATACCACTGTATCGATTCTACTCACCGTCGATTTAACAGGTCGATTCCCATCACTCGCGATTCCAGGCGCTAATTTCAACGTGAGGTTCTCCTTCGCCTCGTGAATGGCTTCCTGAAGCTCCTCGGGGTTCCGTACCTGTTTTCCGTTCACTTCCAGTATCACTTCCCCTGCTCTCAGGAGCCCTTGCCTGGCCGCCGTGCTACCGCCGAGGATCCTGGCGATTATCAAGTTGCCAGATTCGTCGACCTGCACCGTGAGACCCTGGCCACAAAGAGAGACGAGTGAAAATAAACGCTTGTTCGGATGATATACGTTTGCTAGATGCACGGTTCTTAGAGGAACAATAAATGGTACCCTATTACGTACATCGAGCAGAGCGGGACCGTTTTAAGGAGTGGACGCTTAATGCCTGATTATATAAAACATTGTGCTGGACCATTGGAAAAGTTTTCGTATGTCTTTGCAATATCCACGTTTAACGATTTTACGGTGAAATTGAATCAAAGTAAAGAGGTACCAATAATACATTTACTAACAAAGTTTCTGTTTTTGTACCCTGATATGTTACACTAATGGACCTTGAGAGGTCTAGGATTATGTTATAGTAATAAAAAAATTATTGGTCTGTAGTTAGAGGTTAAATATACCCAAATTGGAGAATTTTTCTAATTTTTCTAACCATTTCATTTCAAATTTCTCTCTCGGTTTTCGTCTACTGTCCACGGAGACACACCAGAGCCTCATCCGGAGCACGTGGTGGCGGGATCGCGACGATAATAAACGCTCCGAATTATTTACGAACTGTGCAACCGGCATTTCCGTCTTCGCGCGCGAACTGCGTTCGATTCTGAATGGGAATTCTCTCACGTGACGGAATGGTAAACCTCTAAAAACAGACGGACCGGCGTTCTACCGCGAAAGTCGGCGCGAAAAGCTGTTCCTTTGTTGACTGCCGTGTACGCGCGCCTGCATTCTCTTCATCCGCCGTGAATTCGCGAGTAAACAAATGGAGAACAGAACAGCGCGAACACGAGGGAAACATTAACAGAAGAATTATTAAACTCTTCGTCTTACAATGATCCGCAGGAGCTCGGTCCAATCATTTTTTAACTGTATTAGCCAGGGGGCAGTTCTTTCCTTGAATGGAAAAAACGTGGGTTTGGTACTACTCTAGAAGAAAAAAAAAATTGGATTTCGCCCCTCTTCCCCTAGAAGAAAAAATCGGACTTTGCCCCCTCGTGTGAATTTTTAGGAAATTTTAATTATCTTCAGACGCGAATATCTCGGGGTTAAATGATCAGAATGGTATGGCTATTAAGGGCGTTGGATTTGCTTTTTATACTCTATAAGGATATCGAAAAAAATAAGGTTAATGTAAAGAAAAAATCAGAGACTTAATACCGGTATTATGCCCAGGGACTAAAACCGGTATGATTTTGATACCGGTATTATGCTAGTAAAGGTATACCGAAATCGATATATTACCGAAAACCGAAATAAATACTGGTATTTTTTTCGGTTTTTCTATTGTATACATGTCAGGGACTTCTACCAAAACGTAAAATACCGGTATTTTCGTATTTCGGTTTCTATAAGGATTACAAAGGTACAGCCGTAAAATACCGGTATGATATCGATATTTTACGTTTCGGTAGAAGTCCCTGGAAAAAATAAGATAAATATAAAGTTCAATTTTGGCAAAACCGAACATATGGGGATATGTCATCGGCATAATGGGGACATAAACCATAATGGGGGAACGCAGCTTAATGTATTTTCGACAAAATCTTACCAGAGGTTCGTCAGGATGCCTTCTCAGGCCGACCATCCTCATGGCTTCCGTCCTCTCGTTACTGGGCATCGTCGTCTGAGGCGGTGGTTCCGGTTTCGACGGCGCCTCTTTACGTTCGACGACCGCGTCGTGCGTCTCCAGGAGCGCTTTCAGGTGCGAGCTTCGCAGCAATCGCGTAAGTTCCCGCGCGTTTTCGTCCCGTGAGACCCGTAACGCGTGGCAGACCTCGTCGACGATGTCACAGACGGACGAGCATACCGGTTCCACGTGGAGCGGAGGATCCTCCAGACGCTCCTGTACCTGGGAACAGAGTCGGAAACGCCCTGGTGATTCCGGGGATTCCTTACTGAAAACTGGTTTCTGGTGGTCGGATCAACACACGGTTTAGAGTCGCGACTGTAGACGAGTCGACGACTGGGATATCTTGTGGGGATCTTTTGGAATACTAAAAAATCGTAGCGTAATTATACCTTTGACATGGAATTTGGCTACAAGGGCTGATCAGGAAATCGGAAATTTTCTGTACACTGCGTGGCATAACTATAAAATCACCTTAAAATTTTCAATCCTTATGTATTGTGGTTAAAAAAAAAAAGAAACACCTTTTTTCTAGGGAATATCATCTATCCTCATCGGGGGAAATATTATTTTTCAACACGATTTATTTAAGTACAATATATAAGAATTGAAAGGTATAGGATGGGTTTATTGTTATGCCACGCAGTGTATGAATCATTTATTATTAATGTTAACTTAGCCTTAAAATACTTTAATTTATCTGGAAGACAATCTGTGCCATAAAATCTGATTACCCAATGCTAGGCTTACCAAACTTTGGAGTCGTTAATTACCTAGATATAATTACGTATATACACGTGTATATATGCATCGACCTAATAATTCCTAGAAGTAAATAATTTATACCGAAATGTTTTCTAATCGTTTACGAGTATTAATTGAATACTTAGAGTTGAGGAATCAACCTTGAATGCATATTATATTTGGAAATATGGAAAAGGTTAACGTCAGCGACCGATACAACCGGGACACGAAGGTTCACAGATGTCTGCTCGACGCATGCTTCTTCGAACACTCGTGCTCGTTCTACTACGGTGGTGTTAGTCGAACCTACAAACAGTGAGCGGCTTTGAGCTGTTGCCAGTTGTGAAAGTCGAAACGGGTTTCCGCATTAAATTCACCGTACGAGGAGCCTATGGTTGCTCTTTGTCCACTTCGTAGAGCACAGAAGAAAATGAGTCTCTTAAAACTCTTACGGGTTGGATCAACGATTTCTACAATCGCTCGTCATTAAGGCGGACTCAACTTTCCAGCCATCTCGAGGACAATAATTTGCAATAGAATTTGTGCGGTTAGAACTATTGCGAATTTTTTGTATTTTAACTGGAAAGTCGTTTGGAAATTTTTCTTTTTAGTTGCTGATTACGAGCACTAAATGTCAACTATGGCCCCGTTTGGCGAATTAAAAACGAGCACTTTTTCCGTTGATTTGTTCACCCACCAGTGTCAAATCGTCATTGTGCAACGATGACCCAGCGTCAACGAGGTTTGATTGGATTAGCGTCGTTCGAGCGTAAGGCTAGTGTACTCTACGCTGAGCCAGCCAATACACAGCCGTTTACAACAATGGAACGGGTGATTACGAAAGTGGGTCGGTTCTCGAGCGCTTCGTAGCCACCTTCGAGAATGCTTAATACCTGAGCCTCGTCGACGGGGAACGCGACGTATGCACGCGTGCATGGTCTTTCAAACACGGCGGAAAATTACGTAAACAACCATACGGTTATCATGATCAACGATGTACAACGTGTCTGGTGATTCGAAAAACAAATCCAGTATGTTCATCGTTACGTAACTCGGGATCAATTGGAAAATATTAGTCGAAATCCTTTGGAATCGTAATCGTTCGAATAAAAAAAAATGTAATTTAATTGAAATTTCGCTAATATTGAAGAATAACAATTATCCGAATGACCATAATAACGTCGATTGTCCCAAATACCGATTATCGGAACATAGAACGAGTGACAAACGTTTTGCGAAAAAATGATTTTATATTACAGCTCAAACGACAGTTCAATATTCTAACATTAAAGTAGTCAAATTATCTAGTCAATTTAGGATCCAAATCTCGCTTGGTTGAATCGATTTCTCAACATAGTCACTTTCTCTAAGATAAATGGATGAGGATTCACCTGCATCGTAGAATCGGCTGATCGTTGAATTCTCGACGGAAGAAAAACGGGCCGATAAATTACTCGAGGAATCCATACCGATTTCACAAGCATTTCTTCGAATTACTCGGAATTACTCCACAACGAGAAAAAGTTCTGAATTACGAAAACGATCGAATGAAAGTGATCGATGCGTCGTTGACAAACGATTTTCTACGTTTCACGGATATTCGTCGCGATCCAAGCGCCACGGAAATTGCTCTAAGAAACGATCGAAGGTATTCGACTACTCGCGGCCTCGATGAATCATCCATCGAATCATTCGCCTGGATACATCTGCATCGCAGATGAACGAGGCTATTTTCACGAACCGTTGCGTCGCGACTGTACGCTAGTTGCACCGTCGTCGATCATGGATCACGACGGCGTCGAGCGTTGAAATCACTGACGAGTAAAATCGGTCGATCTTCGATAAGAGGGATCAAAAGGACGCAGATCACTCGACGATCTACGGCCACGTTGGATCCATTCTGCGTTATAAATCTTCGTCCGACGTGCGACATCAAAGAAACGAGCTCGCCAAGCGCTGTGTGCCTTGCCACGAAGCTGAGAAAACAAATTCTGTGATTTGTGGAGATTGTGCATGAATGTTGAAACTTAAAGGATTATTCTTCCCGCTGCTCGACCTTCGGAAACATCGTTCTGAGGGGATTATTTCGTAGTCTTTAGACAGACAGACATAATTCTGTTATTCTTGAGCGATATGAATTATTAGACACGCCAGGGAATAATGTGCCGTCAAATTTATTATTGACATTGATTGAAATACGAAAATATGTCCAACGTTGCTGTACAAGGTACTTCTGGAGGAGTATTAACAAGCGAACAGACGTGTAGAATATCAAAGAAATACCTGTACTAATAATTATCATCGTGGAATTTTAATGACACAGATTAGAATGTCGATAATGATGGTAATTTTGGAACCAGTATTTGATTCAGGGAATGTGCCAGTGATTATGAGAGTGGTCTAAGACAAAAATTAAAAAAAATTGAACGTATCACTTATTTGGGGTTACATTGATTTACGTTGCGAGAATATGAAAGCATTTTTGCAGAATATTTAATTGACTTAGGCTATTTTCATAATTACCGGCATATATATTTCAGTCACTATAGTTACATACGGTGGTCTTGGAAACAGTATTGTGTTTTTTTTATACACAGAATGAAAGGAGGAATGATTTTATACCAAAAAGAAATCGTAATGGTCTATCTAAAAAGAAAGTGCACCAATGCACTTGTTAAAAAAAGTTCATACAGTTGGAAGATAGAACTTGTTAAACAATGCAAAATCTACGATTTTTTCTCTAACGCCCTTTGAAATTCAGCTGTATAGCCTAGTTAGAATATTTGCTAAGGAATTGAATATACAAAAAAAATGTTTTTGCAAGTTATCTGGCATAAAACGGGTCATTATGTGGCATAAAAAATTTCTTTGCAAATAGAGTAATGAGAGAGAGACTTGAAGGTCAAGTTAATTCATACGATTACGTAGTATTTGGTAGCCACACGACCTGTGGCTCACGTTGATCTGACTTCGAATTTCACTAATTTACGCCCTCCAACGACACTTAATGACTATATGCGACACACCGTTGAATCAAATACGTATAAAAAAAATATAGAATTCCATTTAAAAAAACTAACTTGACCTTGAAAGCTCTCCCACTATTCTACCTGGAAAAAAATTACTTATACCATATAATGTTCCCCTCTACACCAAACAAATTTTGTAAGAACCGTTTTTTTTCCATATCCATTTAAAAAGGACATCCTCTATATCCGACACGCGGTCTGCATTCGTTGCCTCGATGAATTCACGGAATGTTAGATGGCCACGATATCCAAGGTCGAGGTAAGTCAAAATTTCACTAGTTTCATAACGAACGGAAAACGAGTCGGTTCCCATTACGACCGTTCCTACTTCCTACTCCATGTGGAACGTCGAGCTGCACACACAGGTATTTCTCTACATGTCGCAAGACGGTTATCATCCCGCGGCCATTAATAACACTGCATTCGTCACGGAAACAACAACAGTAGCACACGGCCGGTGTTCAACGAACGTGACACAGCCTATCATAAATTCGCTCGTTCTCCCGTAACGTCCGTGAAAAATGGTCCCACGCGACGAAGATCGTTGTAGCAGCAAAAATACCGATCGAGTCGTGGTTCACGTTCGTTACGCGTTGTCGACAACGAGAGCACACACGTTCACACGTCATCGCTGTCATTTCGAGGCAACATCACGATTCACCGAATGCTTTTCAACGTGCAACACCACAGTCTCGCCATGTGGAGATCAATAAATCCGTGGACGCCTCGTAATCCAGCGAGAACTCACCGATATCAGCCTATCCTTCGAGTGGCCTGATCGTGATTGGGAGAAACAATCGTATTAAAAAATTATTCACGTGTTCCCCACTTGGATCACATGGACTTTGTGTCATAGAGAAACATGTCTCGAGTATTATTCAGACGATCGTACACGCTCGACGGTCCTCGTTCAAACGTGTAACCTACAGAGAACCTTTTCCCCGAGAGTCCTCAAGGACAGTTGAAACGACCATCTTGAGCTCTCCCTACCCAAGTTACGAAAACGTTCGCGTCGAGTGTTCCTCTTTAGCGAAGCGACGAGAAGCTCTTCGAAAGCCTTAACTTTCACCATTCAATTCGTCGATAACGATCATCCGATACATATACTAGGAGTCAGACATACTGATGGGATCGAGAAGAATCACAGATGGTTGATCCCTGTTCCAGGATCTAGACACCAGATGATCTACTTAACATTTTAGCTACGGCGGAACTTTTTGGGAAACTGTACCTGCTGTATGGTGTTCGATTCTTTTCACTGTGATTCTTTATAATTAGGTAGTTTCCACTATTGAGCCATGTTTAAATATAAATAACGTACACGATCTTCAACGCGAGACAAACAAGTGAGTCACTACAGTGGCGTATCATTTAAAACTGTCACTTAGAGGAAACCCACTATACTGGCGTATAGTAGCTAAAAGGTTAAAAAGACCATCTATCCAACCA